TCCTGGCCATACTACTAGGAGCAAGGACGCTACTAGGGGCTCCTGGCTATACTACTAGGAGCAAGGACGCTACTAGGGGCCCCGGGCTCCTGGCCATACTACTGGCCATACTACTAGGAGCAAGGACGCTACTAGGGGCTCCTGGCCTTGCTACTAGGAGCAAGGACGCTACTACAAGGACGCTACTAGGGTCTACTGGCCTTACTACTAGGAGCAAGGACGCTACTAGGAGCAAGGACGCTACTAGGGGCTCCTGGCCATACTACTGGGAGCAAGGACGCTAGGAGCAAGGACACTCCTTTTGATTTACAACTGTTTTTTGTGGTTCCTAAGTTGCTCTCCATCGCCCCGATGCGCCTGCTCGATGTGCACACCTTGGTTTTGTGTCCGACTTGAATCTCTGGATAATTCTCTCTCCATTGTTGAAACTGTTAGAGTCTTTGAGGTGATGGACTGCCTTTCAAGTTGCCAACGAGTGTAGAGGAGAAGCTGGCACCTCACCTTTTGTCCTTTCTCCTTTCGTATCAACGTTATCATTTGTATTATATTCTATATTCATTTCTTATGTCCTTCTTTCATGGCCAGGAGCTGGTCCCCTTTGGACAGACCGTCTCGGTTGGGGGCTTGCTGGGTTCCCAGATCAGCTTGATCTTCAAAGTAATTCCAACCATTCCAAGACCGGGGAGTCGAGTAAGTCTAGTCTATTTATTTGGTTTGGACACTCTAGCCACAGCTGAGATTCCGGGGTTTGAACAGCTTTTCCAGGATGGGAGTGTGTTCCGGATTTGCTCTCAAGAAGGCCCAGATCAAGCCGGCTTTTTTCTGCAGATCTTGCCCTGTGGCTGTCGAGAGGTTGGAAAATTGGCTGCTGGCCTTTTTGGTGGGCTTTTCTGCCTTCAGCAGGTTGGTGGGCTTTGCTGCGTTTTTTTGCACGTTCCTGGCTTTCCAGTTTTTATTTGTGTCTTGCTCCTTTTCCCTCCAGGCTCTAGCTTATCAAGGCTACGTCACAGTGCACCCTATCTGATATGGAGTTGTGCTTCTCTGTGTCAAAGTGTTTTAACTTCAACCTCCAAACTGTCAAGGCAAGGTGAGTGCAGAGTCTCTTGAATGGTCACTCCATTGAGATTTTGCAAAATGTTGACTCTGACACAAGCAAGTTTGCCAAGGAATTGGTCGAAAGTTGAGTAGAGAACTCAGCCAATACAAACAAATTGCTGCTTTGGACCCGATGTTAGTCTTGTCTTGCTCCAAGCATACCTTGCTGGGTGTTTCTGGGTTAGCTGAGATGAGAGAGACTCTGGCGGTCACTTATCTTCTACTTTTTATGAGCGATACGGATGATGCATGCCAAGTGTCAAAAAGAGCCACGAGCGCACCTGCAATTGTGTTGACACCAAAAACAAGAGCGTGAGAAAAAATTGTGCAGTGTTGTTCGCGTGTAAAGCAGACCACAACAACCTTATTTGCACGGAGAATGCAACAACCTTGAGGCCCAAGTTACAGAACCATACCAAGCATCAGGACGGCTGATATCCTTGCCGAAGGGCAGGGACAACCACGACAACTCCCCCTTCTCCCAAGCTACTCTGACTCGCCCAAACACTTGGGTGGTGAACGCAACACCAAACATTTGAATCAAGTGTTTACACAATACTATCCCCTTCAGGCAGCCACAATGCAAAAAACAAGATGATACCTGCAACAAGTCGAGCGGAGATCATAGAAGGGGCCAGAAGACTGCGGAAACCACTCCCAGGAAGCAAACATAGCGTTGATACAATTCCGAGGCCTTCTTCAAAGAGGCCACCGCATTGTCATTGTACACGCTTTTCATTTCACTGTGCACAGGACAGGAATGTTATTATAGTAAAAGTTATAATCGTGTTTTGGCATTCTGAATGGTTTTCCCATGCAATATAATCCAGTCGGCCTGATAATATTGAGGGCTTCTATGCATTTGCAAAGTGTGTGTGTGTGTGTGCCTCTGCAATAATATGTCTTCCACTTTTGTATCCAGCTGGCGAGCTATGGCAAGCAAACCTCAGTGCAGCTGCAAAGACAATTTTTTTTGTTTCAAGATTTGCTCACAATCCAGATACAGAAAATCTTGAGGCAGGCTTTGTCTCTCCCTTAAGCCCTTTGCCCAAAGGAAAGACCTCACTGAAGTACTCGACGTGAACAAGGACTATCAAATCACATTAACTTGCCATATGGAAGGATTGTTGATCAGATAGAAAATCCCGATACCCTCCGAGAATGAGCAGAGTGCCAAAGTGAGCAGGATGGAAAACTTGATGCGGGCGATGTGAATGAGGGTTACACAAAAGTGCTCAAGGCCTAATCCAACGTTCAAAAAATTGCTTTAAACAAGATGTATGCACTGACATTTGTGGCAGATGGGTCCAAGCTGGTCAAAGTCCTTGCCTTCAAAGCAGCGCTTTTCAGGTACTCCAAAGCAACACGGCTGGTTTGTCAGGTGGCTTTGCAGGTGGCTTTTTGCTTGGGGCCTGATTCTAAGCGGTGCACCTTGCAGTTGGAGTACCTTAACACCTCAAAATCAACATTGCAAGCTGTTGAACTGCTTAGGTTCGCTTGGGCTAAAGGGACAGCCGCGCATGCTGCATGGTGGTCCTCGTCTTCCTGGCAGAAAGGTTTGTAGAAGCGACGGCGATGGTGGATAGCTGCGCCTCGCTGCACCTTGCTGCACCAACATAGCTCTATGTTAGTCACACCTTCATAGAAAGGACAGTGAGTCCTTAAGTTCCATATAGATTCGTTTGTCAGAGCCTGATGCGTTCAGCTTCAGCTAGCTGTTAGCGGTGTACAGTGGTCACTTCGATGATCCTGCGATCTCATGATAAGGCCTTGTTTTCGGTTTGAATCATAATGTAATGTATAGTGTGCCGCAATGTTTGTACAAAACCAATGCGGGAGAACATCCAAGACTACAGATCATTTGGCCTGGCAACACGTGATTTCTTTATATACCACATTTGAGATTGCATTAGTGTCGAAAAAGCTCTTGCTGCCTTTGCTTGAACATTTGCACAAGCAAGCTCAGTAGATTTTGTGTAGATGAATCAAGAGATCGGATCCTTGCAATTTCACAATCAATCCTGAGATGAGTGGTCTTTTGTGTATGATCGCTCTGCACCCCTGCCAAAGTTTGCATGCTCTCCCACAAATGGCTCTGAGACAATTAAGCAATTATATACCTCAAGATTCCACAGCAGGAATGGGCAAAGCCAGATCATGTCATGTGGAAGTTGCCATTAATTCTGAGCAACGTCTTTTGGAAATTTGATTAAGCCCTACTGGAGATTCACAGAGCGAGCAATGCCGACAATGCCTCTTGCTCATCTCAGGCTGGGGTACGGTACCGAGCTGATTCCCGTGCGGTCGCATCGCCGCATTTCGGTGACCGTTCTCAGGTGGCCTCTAGCCGTGTTTGGGCTTCTCAGTCCATTGGGTGTGTGCGGTGGCACCTTACGTGGTGAAGGCCAGAATATTAGGAGGTTTGATGACAAGACTCATGCTGTGATACTGGCAACTGCCCGCCACAGCTGGATCAAGAGTGACAAGATGCCAATCTGAGTTTCCAAATACCTCATGAATGAGCTGAGTGAGCTGTGACTCCATTTCACCCTTGGACTAGAAACAAAATACTACTTTAGTATCAGTGTACAAAGACGGCCAGCGATCCTCTTTCATGGCCGCTGCTGGTCGCTGCGCACGACTGGTGAGCCATAGCCTTCAAGGATTGAGGAGCGCAGCCAGTAATACAATGTCGCTGCCTGAGGTCTTCTTCGGTACGATGACGTTCGGCTGGTCCCAGGCAAATTGACCAGTTTTGAAGAGTAGTAACAAGAAGCTATTAGAAACAAGTGCATCGCTACTAGTAACAAGCGCCTTACTAGTAGTAACAAGTAACAAGAAGCTATTAGAAACAAAACTGGTATTGCGATCGCACATTCTTACTGAGGATGTTTGTATTCGTAGAAGTGTTTTGAAAGACAACAGATGGAAACAGAGCAGAAGAAACACCGGGCATTGCGCGCAGGCGAGCAGCAAAGTGGATGATGCCGTAGCATACGAGATGCTCAAGAAGTTTGTGGACCTCGGAGGTGTGCAAGTTGATACGGCCCGAATCTACTCTGCTGGTGAGACGGAGAACATCCTGGGACGGATTCTCCCCAAGCTTCGTGGAGAATCAAGTGCCGCGGAGAAAGATTTGATCCTTGGTACCAAAGTACATCCATCACAACCCAATGGACTCTCGGAGATTGGCATCAGAAAGCAGCTGGAAGCATCATTGAAGGCGATGAATGTGTCTCGTGTTGAGATTTTGTACTTGCATCAGCCAGACCCAGAGCATGATTTGCTGGAATCGCTACAATGCGTACAGCAGCTAATAAAAGAAGGTCTTGTTGGAAGGTATGGCATGAGCAACTACAGTGCTATCGAGGTTGATCGTTGCTGTACTCTTTGCAAGGACCGTGGCTGGTCCATGCCTTCAGTTTACCAGGGCCTCTACAATCCATTGAACCGACTGGCAGAGGCAGAATTGCTACCTGTACTTCGCAAGTTCGGCGTTTCCTTTGTCGCATATAACCCATTGGCAGCAGGTTTGCTGACCGGCAAGCACTTGGCGACTGATGATGTTCTCCCTGGTCGCTTCAAGGACAATCCAAACTACTTGCCGCGCTTCTACACAAAGCCAAACTTCGATGCCTTGTCTGGGATTAGATCAGCTTGCGAGGAAGCCAAAATATCCATGGTTGATGCGACATATTCTTGGCTGTTGCAGCATTCTACTCTGAGTGCTGCAAAGGGTGATGGCATTCTGCTTGGCGCTTCATCGACATCTCAGTTGGAACAGAACCTGTCTGCCTGCAAAAATCCCGTGTCACTTCCACCTCCAGTGCTTGCAGCCTTTGATGCTGCATGGCCAGTAGTACAGGCTGGTGGAGATGTGTTCCCTTACTGGAGATCCTACTCAAAGGACCAGCCAGGAAGAGAATCTTTACCACCTGGAGCCTCATACTCTGCGGCCAAGAAGTAGTGTTGTTCATGCCTTTCTTCCACTTGGTCAGACTTGTGAGCGATCCAAAACACACCCAGACCGAAAGCACCCAGACCGATCCGCAACTTGGATTCGAGCCAGCTTAGGACCTTAGGGACGCTTCGGAGCGTCGAAGGTTTTGAACCATGTCAAGGTCCGTTCAGCATGCCCACAGATGATTTCCTTGCAAAGCAGAGCTATATGCATAGTGTGTGTTCAAGTTCCTACTTGCTTTTTTGTGGTGACGCTGGAGTTGCACTAGTTTGGTGTCAAGTGCTGAATCATGTCATGTTTGTCAAATGAAGAAGCGACGTTCAGTAGAATCTACAGGTATTCTAAAAAGGAAGAGAAAGGTATGGGTCTGACTAGTCTTCGTTGTATTTCCTCCTTTGAGGGAGCCGCACTAGAAAGGTCTAGGGTTAGGGCGCAAATATTGTGTGGCCCGGTGCTAGGTGCCCGGGGAAAAGTACAAGCACTCCGCACTCCCTGTAGAATTGCTAACACAGATTTGCAGAGAGAAGATTCCATATCAGTTTACATTTTCTGTACCCTTCTAGCCAAACTGGTGAACGCGAGCAGTTGCCTGGAATCTTGGGAAATGGCATGTTTGGCAAGGATCTATAGTTGCATTCACTGTAGAAGTGGCATGCCATTGAATTGTGGTTCAGCAGCTCAGCAACCGTTTTTTGAGCACCAACACTTCGGCAAGACCTTAAGTGCAGGTCCAGTGCAAGTCGTCGTGGACATTCCGCATCATCGACGAGTCCAACTGTCATGCAGGGGGACTGCGTTGCTTGAAGTGAGAGATCTTCTTGGACATTTTGTTTCAGCTTTCTTGTTGATTACTAAGAGCACAGCGTTTTCAACATATGTCATTTAGTTTCCTTGCTACGCAATTGCTATTGCAACGCATTTTCCACCAGCTCAAACGATGCTGCTCAGCTCTGTAATGTACAATCAATTCAAAAAGCTAAATTCTAGGGCCGGGCCGGGCCTAGGGTCTACTTCTGCGTAAGCATTGTTTAGACACCTTTGACATCCGACTTTTTCTTCCTTCAAGGCTTCGCCTTCAGCTGGTGCCAGCGGGTGGCCGAACACCATTGGTGTCCCCGATGCTCGCTCCGAGCGTGGAGGACGTGCCCTGCAGCAAGGCCGGGCCTCGGCCGTTGAGCCGTCGGGACCTCCTCGGCGCGGCAGGTCGAGACGTCCACGGAGCAGGGCGTTTCCACCAGTGCCGGCTCCGTGACGGTGGACATTTACGGCGTGGTGAGGATCTACTCAGGTCGAGATGCCGCAAAAGTATACAACTGGTCTTAGGATGCAAATCACCTTGGGTTATATAAGATCTTTTGATGCGTTTTGTTGGAGTGGTTTGTGGACACACCCCTGTGATACTTTGAAACGGACATGCAAATGCCTTGTCCAGTTGAGGCAGTGGTGGTGCTCGCATTACAAATTCTACACCAATTGTCAGCGACAGCGAAATGGTGTTCTATCAGCCGAGGGGAAGACTGCTAGGCCAGGCGTAGTGTGCTCTTCCTGTGGCGAAGGCGGTCTTTCCCTTCAAAGGAGGTTTCACCAACCTTTTGATGCATCGCGACTCTGGGTAGTTGGCTCTTGTCCGTGTTCACTTGGCAGCCCTGCCTTCTCACAGCGCACACCTTTGCAATGTGTTTGCCGTGAGGTGGCGGGAGTGATTCTCCAGGAGGTATGAGTCTGTCGACTCCGTCAGTATCGCCAATAGATGCTTGGCGCAAGATCGGAATGTCTGTCCCGTAGCAGTTTTGGGTGAACTACTCATTTTGGGCAACGATTTGAGGTTGGCAACACTGCATGCTATGCCCCATACTACTACTCAGAGGCTTGTCACATCATGGATCATCTCGTTTTGCTTTCGGCTCTTGCTTCTGCCGCGCTGTGTGCCCTTTTGCAGATGGGATATGGAGTTCTGTCTGTAGTGGAGAGGGCCGTCACTTGGCTGCATTTGCATCATTGGCCGCAACTGTCAATACTCTTGCAATTGTAAGAATTCCTGGAGAGCTTTTCTCAGGACTACAACAAGTACCCTGCAAGCTACGAGTTGACTAGCTACGGTGACAGCCAACGTGTGAACTGGCTCTTCACTGGAATGTGGGTGCTTTGGCAAAAGAGACAAGGCAGAGGAACTTTTAGAGCAAAGTCATTTGACAGATTGCAGTGTTTTTTTCTTTCTGATGATCATTAAAGAACTACGTAAGATTGCAGTTAATTGTTGATTTAAGTTAACGCATTCATTTTCATTCATTTCATTCATTTTCAACCTTTCCTTCTAGTGCATCCTTTTGCAAGCTCTCCAAGGATATGTATATAATGCCAGCAGCAAGCCTACGTGAGGGAACTCGCGTTTTCTCCTGAGCTTTCAATGCCAGCTGGCACCCGGAAGTGTTGTGAGGTGAATTTGTATTGACAGCACTTGTAAACTATGCCCATTTTTGCAAGCCCAAACTTAAACTTGACATGCTGTGAAGGCCTACTATGAGCTCACAGGACGACCACCAGTACCACCACGCTATACGTTTGGCAGTTTGCTTGCACGACAGCAGATTGCACAGATGTTTGTTCATTGGGATTGCCATTTTAGCTGTTTAATATTCACCGCTTCTCTGGCAGCAAAGGCTTTATGGCCAGCAGGCCGGGCTGGATGTGACAATTCGTCACATTGGGATGAACCGTTTATGCACATGGGTAAAGCAGTTCTGATGTTTTGATCTACCTATCGTATGCATTTCACTGTCGAGGGTGCTTCCACTTCGCAACGCATTTGCGTACAACCGGACTCCTTGGGCGGCGAGTGACGGAGAATTGGACTCAATTTCTGAGTCGTTCTGTTCAGGTGGGGCTGGAAGGATCGCACATACATTGAGAATGTGATCCAGAAATTTCGTGATGGCAAGTATCCAATTGATGTATCCTGGCGCATCGGAATTTTGAGTTTGACGTCAGAGGTGCTCTGAGAATGTCAATCTAGATTGCCAGTATATTGTGAGGGACGCAGAAAGAATATGAGGGTCCTGCCTGAGCTTAGGCAATCATCATGGATTTTGAGTGGTGCCTTGACCACTTTTGAACATTGTTGGACCCCTTTGTCCATGTTGGACCCCTTGGTCCTGCTTGGTGTTCTTTAGTAATTGAGATCAGCACGCAATTTCCCGTTTGAGGTTCACCAACGAGACTGACTATGGATATGCGCCCAGTGAAGGCAAATCCTACTACAAAGACTTTGGCTTCAACCCAGTGCCTTTGGCTTGAGTGCACTGAAAGAGGTACCAAGACACAACTGAAAACGATGCAACAACAGCTGAACATATCGCATTTTCGCTGTTTGGATGACCATTTCCTTGTTTCGGTTCAGCCTTGTTGGACTATAGGTGACCTTTCCCGAGCCTGCATATCAGCTGGCGGAATATGCCTTCAGTTGCTGGATTGGAATTGCAAACTTGAAGCGTTCTTTTAAAGTTCTTTGGTTATACCGTACCAGCATGGACCCAAACAGTCTCGCCGTTGTCGTGGATGGCAAATACAGTAGGTCCATGTTATCGGCGACCCTGCCCCTTGCACTCCGAGCAGGAAGCGAACGACGTAGGACACGACTTGAACAAAGCATGGACCGGTGCAGAGGACCACACCCAGAACAACAGGACAACCGAAGGACACCAGGACAACACGAGGGCAGGGACGTAGGCTTGCCGCTCTGGACACAGAACAGCAACACCTCGGGCAGCGACAACAGCAGGACAACGACCGGACGGCTCAAGACATATCTAGATTTTGTGGAAGCAAGAGATGCGGAGATAAAGACTAAGCAAGGAAGCTATAAGCCCGCATCGTTTCCTGACATGCAAGATTTCCATGCTTGCCCCTTGCATGTTCATCGAGCCCCTTTTTTTGTTCACACGAGCCACAAGTTCATCAGATGGGCACAACCCCCACACCCAACCAGTCCATCAAGGGTTTCCTTCTTCCCTCTTTTTCCAAGAGCAAAATACAATGTCCCAAGCAGTTTCACCAGCATTTGTTGTTGTGGTGGATCGGAAAGACTCTGGGTGTATGTCATCAGTCCCCCGGTCTATTGCCCTAAGCAGCGACACGAAGAAGCTAGCAACATACCATGCAGGCTCTTCTGATGTGGCCAGGAAACATGGAGAAGTCGAACAAGACAAATTGGGAGGATATCAACACGACAGCAGAAGGACAAGAATCAGGGTTGCAGCTGCGGCCAGGCTGTGAATACATAAGGGCGAAGCCTCGTGACAAGAGAGGACATGCCTGGCCAAAGAGGGGCAACTCCCCGACCAAAAGTAAGACATGAGGAGCGCAACAAGAGGACAAAAGGAGGCACACAGGTTTGCGGCAGAGGACAGAGGAGGACGACGCCCCAGACAGCATAAGAGGACAACGCCTGTACACAAACTTGCCGCCGGCAGGCTGCGGAACAGACCCGGACAAAGCATGGAGAGGTGTGGTACAGGAGAACAACACGAGGGCAACGGGGCAACAGCTGGACACAATTATGCAGTTCTTCTCCAAACACAAATACCGGCAGGAAATTGGTTGAGGAGATTTCCTAAGTGCCATGGCCAGCTAGACAGTTTATCCAGGCGTTACGCCCATCGTGGATATCAGCATTCAGCATGCATGTGTTTTTTCATGTGAAGTTATTTTACATCTTGTCACGGGGTTTGCAAGATTTGGAGCTCCTTGCCTTGCAGATTCCAACATCCGTGTGGCTGGCATCCGAAAACCGCGAATGGGCAACTCTGCCGTGATCGAGGTGCGCGACGACCAGTGCGTGCGTGCATGCGTGCGCGAGCTCGGCGGCTGTACATCAGGAGCTTGAGGACAAGAAGTGGCTTCTGCCCCACTGCGAGCCTGCTGGGAGGCAGGAAAAGGAAAGATCAGAAAAGGATGCAAAGGTTCAAAGGAACGCAAATGGGCAGTGAGTGGATTCAAGCGTTTGCAAATTGGCTTGAATTGGCTTGAATTCGTGGCTAGGTACCCTCCAGTATATCCTGGCTATTCATGCGGCAGGCTGGGCAAGTTGAGTGCCACGTGCCGCTCTCCAGCTTCGGATGTATCAGGGTCCCTCAACGCCTTTCTAACGCCTTTCTGGTTTCACAAACAGCGCAGCTGATCCCTGAACCACAACTGGGAGATTAGGAAATAGACACAAGCAAGCGACAGAAGGAAGCATAATACGTCCACTTGCATCCATGGCAGCGTTGCGTTGTCGTTTTCTCAGAACCAGGTGCAGGCAAGGAAGGATCATCACATTGTTCAGGCTTGTTCAAGCTAATCCAACCAAAGCCGAAAGGCAACCAACCAACTGATTCGTGGAAAAACACGACTTGAGTTCTTGCTTGATTTGGTTTGGTGCCCAATGGCACGTGAATGGAATGGCACATGAATGTGCTTCTCCAAGGCTATCCTCCCCGACCCTGCGGTTTCAGGTCCATTCTACCCGCAAATCATCAGTCTTTGTGGACCTGCAATGGATACATTTTACGTTCAGTTCCATCTGCATCTTGGAGTGTGTGGTTGGGGGGGGGGTTGAAGCACCGTTGGGAAGAATGACAGCATATAATGATGAATCATGTGCTTGATGCGCTGCAACTGGCTGAGCCTCTCCTTCCAGAAAGCTATGAAGGCAGCTCGGATTCTGCTCCAGCTCTTCTCGGCGACTTTTGCTTCGCTGAGATGTTTGCTGTGGATGCATGACATCATTGGAAGATAACGGCTCTGAACCAGAAGACTTGAATCAAGATTGTGGCTGGGCACAATGTGGCCGAGTCGAAGATAGTGCTTGAGTCTCAAAGAGCAGCTTACTGCAGATGCGACCAGCAGCACTTTTTAGACCTGGCGGATGCATGGCCGTATGCCTGAAACCTGGGATAAATAAGTTATGACAATTTGTTTCACGGCGTTTCATGCGTGGCTGAGCGTGCGCGTGAAACATGAGGGAGGCGGTGCACCTGTCACAACTTGGTCAAGGTCAATGCTACGTGAGGACGCGAGGCCAACCTCAACCAGCCAAGCCAAACCCAACGTAGACATCCCCATCAAAGTTGCAACTTGCCAAATGAATTCATGCTCAAAGCCAGGACCATCCAAGCCAAACTGGAACCAAGCCATGCTGCCCATCCATCAATCACGACTGACCGGATAACCGTCCAGTTTGGTAGGCCAGCGGTGCTCCAACCACCGCTCCGCCTTTGGAGTTTGGTGCATCTTTGGATCCCTTTTGCTCCAAGGGATGGATCCAGTTGGTGATTCATGGTTCAACATCAGCAGGTTGTTCTCGTGAAAAGTCAATCTTTTCGGGCGAATGCCGAATGTGCGCCCTGTCAGACAGCAAGACTCATGGTTCTAGGTTGTTTTGGTCTTCGTTTGCCTGGGACGTGGCTCCTTGCCTTGATTCTTTCAGGAACGTTGACTTCTCCATTCCTGAAGCACGAGATTGGTTCAGTCCTTAATAATTCGCAATACCATGTTTGTGGTGTTTTGCATTTCGTGTAGCGGCGAATCCACGGGGTCCAGGTATGCAAAGGAACTGCAGCCCCTGCTGAATGCTGGCATGAGCTTTTGGTGGAATGATGAGGCCCAATATGGATAAGAGCACTGCGCAGTTGAAGCCAATCTGGTGTTAGTTCAGGGTGAGACGGACTACTTCACCAACCATTGGTGGAACGTGGCTCAGAAGAAGGCGTCCTGACACGGAGGGCAATCAAGTTCCTTCGTCAGTCACGTCTCAAGCTATTTTGGTTTGACTAAATCGCCTCAGGCCTTGGAGACTTGGAGCAACAACATGGCACTGCCTCAACACAGGCGATGTGTGGCATTAGAAGGAACAAAACCGTGTATTTTTTCATCATGCAAACTAGATTCATCACTAGATTAGATTCATCACACGAGTTCGATCTTTTACGCCGTATAAGTATAGTTCAGCTGAAACAAATTGATGTGGTACTGCGTGCTTTGGTACAGACGCTTTGCGTATTGGTGGGCTTGCGGGAATGACGGTTAACATGGGGTTAACACTGGGGATACTTGGCTTTATAGACTGACCATTCTGAAAGTAGATCCCCAAACCTCCAGCTTTAACTGAAATTTCTAGGTTGCTCAATATGTCTTCTCGCCAGCATCTGGGTGCAAGCTCCCTCATTTACATTCTCTTCCTGTCTAGGCCAGTCTATGCTTGGGCGAAACCTAGATCTCAACACATTGTGGAATTTGGACGATTTCAGATTCTCCTTTTATTGAAACCCGATAATGCTATCTGTGAGAGGCTGTACGAGGTCACTTGCATACAGATTCCTTTGCTGATCGAATTTGCTTTCGCCTTCGCAGGTTCTTCTCCCTCAACCGTGCTTTTACACCCGGTCTCTCACGCTTGGGAGCAACTGTCTGGAGCTGGGCTTGGGAGTTGTCAACACAACATGGATTCTAGTAGCGTCCTTGCTCCTAGTAGTAAGGCCAGGAGCCCCTAGTAGCTTCTTGTTACTACTAGCGTGGCACTTGTTACTAGAAGCGATGCACTTGTTCCTAGTAAGAGCACATATCTTTTTGTGCTTGTTTTCTTCTGCCTCTCACGAATCGAGAATCGCAGGACTGGAGATGTAACAGCTAGTTGGGACTGGCTTCTTCATACACCAGGTGGTCATGGAACCTTGAATTTTGATGAGCCAAGCAAAATTCTCCTTCAGTCTGAGCGTGGCGTTGAAGTAAGGTAAGGTGTGATTGTGTAAAGATCTGTGTGCAACTTGACATATATGCTGCCAGGCACCATGTTGAACTGGGTGTTGGCTGGTGCCCCTTACGTGTCCTGTGATTCGGGAGGCTGGGCTGGCTGGCTATTTAGATTCTTGGACAGAAGATCTTCCTTCGAACACTTAGAGCTTCTTGCGTACAAGGCTTCATTGATCCCACGAGTGCAGAATTGCTGATCCGCTGGCTCCAGCTCCTTGGGGTTTGAAGTCATCACTGAGATAAATATGTGGCACTATGTGTACTCTTTTTTCAGACACTCTTTCTTAATATATATATATATACATATTTAAACTTAGTTTTTTAAGAACTGGTTAGTGGTTGTCTTCCCTTGGATCTCTCACATCCATGCACATCCAACGTCTCCAGGGTGGCATGCTTTATGCCGGTCATGCGGGTGCATTCCGAGCCACTCGGCCCCTTCGCAGCGCTGCACTGCTGATGTTTCGGTGATTTCGTCGTTTCGGACGCGTGCTTCGATCGAGCTGAGCTGAGCGAAGGCAGCTCATTTTGCTGAGGATTAATGTAGATCCTCATTGGCCTTGGCTTTGGGGACCAGTTGCCGCAGATGCCTACCGCAAGGATGGGGGTAGCATGTGTGTTTTGTCGTAAAAGAAATCAGTAGCTCTGATCTATGTAATTATCTGTATTATTGATTTATTGATTGATTATGTAATCTCACATTTGTTCAAGAAGAAACAGGGGACAACGAAAAGCCAAGACCCAGGGCCGCCTTAGGCCTTTCAGTTCTGCGCGACTATAAACTTTTGCTGTCCGATATCGATTGCAGATCCTCAACCTCCGCTATCGATTGCTGTCCGCTCCTGACTAGTTTGGCTAGCTCAATCTATCAGAAGGCATGTTTGGCTTGAAGATGACCTGGATGCGACCTCCGATTGAAGATCGCATACTTGCAGCAGCTGGAATGCCAGATCATTTGATGAGTTGCTACACCAAGTATCCGATCGTATCAAGTCGGCTAAGGCCATACCACTATTCGTTGGCACATGCCCAGTATGATACTGGCGAGATGCTTCTTGGCAAAGGGTTGATTACAGATTTATATAGTCGCATTCACTCCACACTCACTCCATTTGCACTTGTGCAAATGGACTGTGGAACTATCGCATTTTCAGCTGTCACCTTTATTCTTGGCTTTTCTGCGTCCGCGCTCAGGTGGATCAGACCATTGCTGATGGATTTTCCAAATAGCCCTGAGGCAGGCATGAGTTTCCTTACGACAGGCTTTGATATGCTTGCCTCAACCATGTAAAGAGTTGTGTACACAGGGCGTCGAAGCAAATCCAACCATTTTCAGTCTTTATACACTGCGTTCTGGATTGCCCAAACAATTCCACAATTTCAGTCAAATGCTTGCTATACTTGCTACCACAGTGACGGATCAGTGACTACACAATAGACTTTTTTCGTTTCCGGCCACCGGCCCCGGCCACGCGGCAACCCGGCCAGCCGGCCACAGCCGGCCACCGCCGGGCACGCGGCCAGCCGGCCACCCCCGGCCATCCGGCCAGCCCCGACCAGCCCCGGCCAGCCCCGACCAGCCCCGGCCAGCCCCGGCCAGCCCCGGCCACCCGGCCAGCCTGGCCACCCGCCACGCGGCCAGCCGACAATCTCACGACCAGTCACCTGTATGTTTGGGGTCGCGCCCCGTCACCGCCGTACGCCCTTGTCTTTTTGTTTTGTTGTTGTTGTGCCAAGCTTCGCTGAGAAGCGGAAAAGCTTCGCTGAATGCTGGCTGTTCCTAGCTGACTACACTCAAGGAACCTACACTCAAGCGCGCGTGCAACCTCCACTCAAGCGGCAAAGGGCTCACCGGAATCAGTCGGCACATATCTACATAGCTGGCGTAAGTCAAGTGACGTGTGCCAAGCTTTACAACAAATGAGCCTTAACCATGCAGGATTGATCATTGACATCAACGAGCTGATTTGTGCTGAGTCTTTGTCGCAGAGGTACCACTTCTAAGCCAAATTGGCGGCGCGCCTCCCCAATCTCCATGTTGTTGTACATCCATTTGAAGCTGTTCTGCTTGCAGCATCAACATGCATCCGACATGGCTCATCGCTTATCAGAGATGAGCTTCATCATCGATGACTCCCACTCAGCAGGACACACCGGAGCGTATTGCAAGGAGCACTGCCTGCCATCCTTGGAAGTGAATAGTGCTTTGTTGGGCACCTTCCCAACAAGCATTGCTGAAAGCGTGAACTTGCATTTTAGCCTGTTAGGCCACGCAGTGCGCCACATGAACAAGTTCTTCGCCCAGCTATTCATCCACGAGCGCCCAAGAACATAACACGTCAAAGCTCCTGCACCTGCGGGACAAAAAACGGGCCAGCGCAAAGAAGTGCAGAAACGGACAGGTCGGTTGATGAGTTTCACAACAGACTAGTTTTTGCATGTGTTCGCTGTCCGTAACCCTGCAAAATGTCAGCTTGCAAGGCGGCTGAGTGTTGTACGTTGTGCCTATTGCATGTATTCTCTCTGTTTGACTGTTGTCCGTAACCAAAGCCTTGAACCTCCAATGCAAAGAGATTTCTCGTCGTTTGTTAAATCAATCGTTTGACGAAAAAAATCTTGTCATTTTTGTCGATTCGATAAAAACACCTATAGCGTTTCGTAAAAACATTGCCGACACAGTCAAACAGAGAGAAAACAACTGGAACGACAAGGAAATGGGATTTGCGGGCGTTTGCGGGTATTTGCTAGCGTTTGCGGGATATCTGCGGGCGTTTTGCGGGTAATTCTTGTCGAGCGTCCCATCTTAACCTTTGGCAGTCAGGACACCAAAACTGAAGTAAATTATGAGAATCCAGGAAACTATGTCGTTCTTAGCGATTGTAGCGTTTACAGTTTTTGCTGGCAAATGTAGTCAAAAACAAAAACAACAAGAAAGTTCTTGTCGTTGGAGGGTGCAGGAGGTGGTTTTGGATGGCCATTCCGTTTCCTTAAAAAGGTTTAGTTATTCTGGGGCTACGGTCATGCTCAGAAGTACTATTGCAGGACAAAATTTAAACTGCCGCTCAGGAAACACACACTGCGGTGCGGGGATACTACTCACCATCAAGAGGAACCATCCCAGAATATCTATTTAAGGTGCGGTGATGTGCAGATCTTCCATGCTTTCTCCCACATACAACCCTCGCCCGCGCGACCTAAAACACGCGCCGACTCACCTCCAGCCACCAGCCACCTCTGGCCATCCGGCCACATCCGGCCATCCGGAAAAATGGCCATCCGGCCACATCCGGCCGGCCACCTCCGGCCACACGGCCACGTCCGGCCACCGGCCGCACCCGGCCATCCGGCCACGTCCGGCCACCGGCCACATCCCACCGATGACCGGCCACCCGTGGCCACAGGCCAGGCGGGCCGGCCACCCACAAAAAAAGTCTATCCCCCAGTGACTAGCATGTCGTTTAGTTTTGGTCCTGAGAAGAGCTTGCCATGTTCACCCCTTTGCTTTGCCTTGCAGGTTCACAATGTGACCACGCATTGGATGGATGGCTCTATTCTGGTAGCACCAGTCTTGCGAGAAGACTCTACCCATGAGGCTCAGCAGCAGCTCAGTCTGGGACACCGGTGCTCGGCCAGAGTAAACATGGCATAAGGACCTCCATTTGCCTCCGGGTCTTTGGTATCGCCTGGACAAGGCTCTCATGTTAGCTGAAGAGGCAGGTGGGGAATGCTGCGTTGCTTTAGGAAGACAAAGGCTTGTTTCTTTCAGGACAATGCCTTGATTGTTGTCTGCGAAATGCAACTCGAAGGTGAAGACAGTTGCTCCAGGTGTGCCTGTTCAGGTGCAGGGTGGGTTGAGAATGAAGCTCTCCCTTTCAACAATTCCTCAGAATCGGTCACCAAACATGGTGGCACTTACAGTGTTGCAGCTTGTGTGAAGAATAGGCAAGCAAGGAGAATAGTAAGAAGGAGAGTGTGTAAAGAGAGCAAGGAGAAGGAGTGGAGGCAGGTAGAGAGGAAGAAGTGGAAGGAGAGGAAGGAGAATGAGAAGAAAGACAAGAAGATATCCTGATATCCCATTGCATCAACAAAGGCCCCTTTAAGCATTTAGTAGGAATGCTCAACAGGGTGAGCTTTCTTTCTTTCTTTCTTTCTTCCTTTATAGATTGGAGAGATTGACTTCTGGCAGGGGCACGATCCGTTGGTGACTCAGGGCTCTGGCACCCGTGTCACGTCCAAAGTACCAATGAAAGAGGCCGGGCGGTAGATGGCCTTGGCATCCATGTGGCCCTTTTGAAACCATGTTGGTCGTCAAACTGATGTGCTTTGTTACTAGTAGCTTCTTGTTACTAGTAGTCTTCCTTTTTGATTCGGGCAATCCCAACTGCCATTTGTTGATGTGGCCCCAGTTCTGCAGGTACCCTGCTTTGTGAGACCTGGTACGATTCTTCCTTTATCACCCGTTGTGGGGGCCTCGCAGGTTTTCCAAGATTGCTTGACTTGCGTGATCAAATTATCTTCTGCAAAGTTGTGCCACCCTGGAACTTGCAACAAGAAGGTAGAAAGAACTCGTGTGAGCCGTGAGCATGTTGGAGTGAATAGAAAACCTGGGTTTTGTTCTGTCTTTGAGGTCCAACATAGTGGCGAGATCGGACAAGGGCCTTTGCAGGTGGGCCACAGCATCCAGCGTGCTGAACTTGTTACGAGAAGTTGGAGGCATGAATCGACATGAAAGATCATAAACGCCTGTTTCCCTTATATAGACAAACACAACACGTGTTGAGTCTGAGACGTCGTTTGACTTCACCAGTTTCACCGTTCGACCCGTGTTGAGCGGTTAAACAGGTCTACGTCTTTGGGGGCAGCGATGGACACTTCACGCTTGGAGCTGTGAATGGTGCTGACAAATCCCGTCCAGCGTTGAAAAACATGTCACTCGATTTGGTGCTGCCAAGGCTGGTTGAGGATGATGGTTGGTCAACCAAGTACCAGCAAGGCTGCTTGACTACTCTAGTTCTCCTTCCGACAGCAGCACAATCTTCGCCCCAACCGTAGAAGCTGTTTGTGTTTGTAGTTCCTTCTTTGCACGTCGGAGCTTTGCAAGCATACATCAGCTTCGCAAGCATAGTTTTCGTTGGGAACGAGATAATTTCGATCATATAGAACAAGCTCCATTGGCACAGGAGTCAGTCAACATGTTGACAATCATGAATGCTACATAATGCTACAGTTATATCTTGTTTGCTCTCAAGAAGTTGTGGCTGGGATTCACCCAGCTTGTAGAGATTTCTCTCCAGAATGATGTGTCAAACGACTCTCTGATTGTTTTTGTTCAGTTCCTTGAGTGATTTAGGTGACATTCGCTCCACCAACTTCAAGTGGGCTGACCATGATCAAACGTTGTCCTGGACAAGCATGATACCTTTTGAATACACTGAGCAGGGTGGCCAAGTTCAGTAAGTTTGCTGAAGAAAGGGCTCAGAGTCAGAATCTGGTGCATTTTCATGTACTCGGATTTGGGTGCACGCATGTGTGCAAACGCAATATCTTATTACATGCACACATACATACTATCACAGATTCATATTGTGTTAGTGTGACATGGTTTGATGCGAAACATCTACTAGCTCCACACCTTGACGGACCGAACATCCAGTAGCTCCATACATCTAAATTTGTACGTGACCCATTGGCTCTTGGTTCTCACAAAACCGTTGACACTGGGTCACTTGGGAGGTCTCAAAGGTGCCATTGGCTGGTGATTGCGTTGGCAGTGGGTAATCGTTTCCAGTGTATTTGGGGGTCGGTTGGTGGTGATTTGTGCTGGCTGCCATTCTTTCGCTGCCTTTTGCATGAATTGTCTGATTCACTGTCTATTTGACGAAGTTTGAATTTGTACTTGGAGAGGCAGCTGCAGCAGATGAAAGCCTCTCCCGGCGTTACATGATGCATCGTTGCCGCTGTTTGCTCGGAAGAGTTATCAGTAGTGACAAAAGCTTGAACAAAGGAGTTCCGAGCCATGTTGCGCCGCACCCTGCTCCTGTCTACCCTGTTCGCTGTGGCCTTTGCCGCCCTTGGCTCTCTGGCTTTTCTAGCTGCACCTGGACACATTACCAGGGTTGTGCCGCGTGCTGACAGGCCATGCTTGGCTGGAGCCAGCGCTGAAGCTTTCCAGGGCAGAACAGGGAGCCATGGATGTATGGTGGCAGCATTGGTGGCTATGGCCGCAGGTGCTTTGATTGTTCAGAACAAAGGTGGCGGCCATGGGGAGATTGGATATCACCTTGCTCTGAAGTTGGCGAAGGAAAAGGGGCTGAAAGTGACCATGATCCAAGACAGCGCATGCAAGCAAGACAAGCCGCCCTTCAACAGTTATAGTGACTTGACCCAGGCTGGTGTCGAGATCAAAATGGCTGATCTCCAGAACGGAGGTCTGTCCACCGCGATTCAGGGCGTGCCGCCCTGTGAGTATGTGTTTGACAACCAGAATATTTGCCCAAAGGATGTGCAGAACTTGGTGAAGTCATGGAACCCAAAGGTCTATGCCTATGTGAGTTCAGGTGGCATGTACCTTGCCGTGCCACAAGGGCCCCTGATTGAAGGGGGTGGTGTGAAGCTCGACAACAAGCAGCTGGCCAACGAGAATCATGCTCGGAATTTGGGCATCAACTGGTGTGCCTTTCGCCCGCAGTACATCTACGGGCCAAAGACCAACAAGCGAGACTACATCGACTGGTTCTTGGACCGCATCACCAGGGACTTGCCTTTCCCTCTCCCCAAGGATGGTACCCTCTTCACCACTCTGACCAACAGTGAAGATGTGGCTGGAATGATGGCGAGTGTCGTGGGAAAAGAAGCAGAAGCTACATCTACCAACGGTCAGATCTTCAACTGTGCAGGAGACGAGCTCCTGTCACATGTGGATGTTGTCAAGGTGATTGCGACAGCCATTGGCAAAGATCCCAAAGATGTCCTGTCCAAAGTCGTGTTCTATGATCCAGCTTCCTTGACACTTGGGTGCATCAGTTGTGTATAGTTGTGTCATCAGTTGCACTCTCGTGATGTTTTTAACAACTTTGCATAGGATGCGTGACATGCAAGCTTGCAACTTGCAACATTGCTTGAAGGAAAGGCCTTGATCTTCCTAAAGAGGGCAAGTTTCCCTTCAGGGAGACCAACTTCGGAGTTGATGTCAAGAAGGCGAAGAAGGCGCACAGAAAGCTGCGTGGGACTGGTTCGGTACAACTGAGACATGCCGGCAGGTCTTGGGCTGGACACCGCAGCACACCTTCCAGGGTGATATTGCCGAGTACTATGCAGACTATTGCCGCCTGGGCAAGGCCTCAAACACCCCGCCCATGATACATGCACACGCACACAGCGTATTGGAATCAATCCAAGTGATTCTTTCTTTTCTTTTTTTCTATTACAAGCCCCTAGTAGCGTCCTTGCTCCTAGTAGCGATGCCCTTTGCTCCTATTGAAGTGTATGGGATTAAACAATTTCTCTTGAGCCACCCCGAGACACATGCCAGAGTTGCCTCCGCCAGGACCAAGGACCAGTGAAACGCGCCTGGGATGAGGCAGTGATCAGTGCAGCCATGAGCACCGCATAGATGCGACCGCTACAACTTTGTTGCTTTTATCTGCGAACTCTTTTTCATTTGTGACATGCAGAGGTCATGTGCTTGACATTCCTTTAGATAGATTCTGTATGCCTAGTGAAGTTGGTGTTACCATGAGCATTTTGACAACGACTGGCTTCTGAGCGGTCCCTTCCATGGCTGCAGCTGCATCAAAGATGCGCCGCACCACATTTTTCCAAGTCACAGCTTCCGATCGCAAATTCGGAATCGGCTTTGTCCAGCAGTGTAGGCTCACTGATGCAGGGTGCTTCGCACTTTAGTCTCACACTGCATTGGCCCGTGCAAACTCACTCTTGCTTCATCATCAGATGTCTTGCTTTGCTCCCTGCGCTTTTAATTCCAGCTTGTTCTTCGCTTTGGTTGCCCATAGACTCAAACAACTCATGCACGCAAAAAAAAGCAGTCACTTAGCCGCTTCGGCCCAATTTCTGGAAGCGCTTTAAACAGTCTTTGTACCTTCTTGTACCCCGCTTTGACCTCTCTTGCACCCTTCTCAAAGACAATGAGGCACGGCTTCTCACAGCTCTCAGTGTGCGCGGGCAGTGGTCGTAGTACACATGCGGGCAGTGGTCGAAAAACACTGGCCAGACATGCACCAGGTACTTTGTGAACATCTATGGCCACATCACCCAGGCCGGTCGCCAATCCGCTAAAGCAAAACAACGAAGTCGTCTTTTCGGCATGACTCGGCATTCCAATGCCGGCGCCAGTCCCCGATTCTGGCATTCTCCAACGAGGGCTCCTTTACCTTCCAGGTGTGACGTGCGGGATGTCCATGTCATGTTGGTTCCAGGTGTCAGCTATGTCAAGCAGATGAAAGTAGAGAGCGCGCGAGAGAGAGAGGTTGGGTTTCAAGTTCCTGGTTGTTGTGATGAAATAGCTTCTGGCATCAGTTGCCAGAATCAGTTCCTTCATGTCATTGGACAGGCATCCCAGGGTTGGCAGAGTTTCACATAGTATGGCGTTGTTGCGACCTGTGAATGTGCACCTGATTATATAGAGGTATATATACACATTTCGTTCCAACCTCTTTTCATTCCATCTGCTTTCGTCGCTGTAGGCTGCCAATGAGGTCTTCAAGTAGCATAGGCTCTCTGAGTTTGGGAGTCAAAGCACGGCGTTGCTTTGCGCTGCTGTGTGCTTTGCATCCAAGCTGCTTCAGCGAGGGAGTGACTTCGGAAACACGACGTGTCAATCCTCAGTGCCTCAACTGCGTTTTTCGATTTCAATCTGGTGCAGTCCACAGGCCAAAAGGCTCAAGTGGCGCTCCAGCAACAGAGGAACGCGAATGTATAGAGTAGCCGATCCAATACGACATTTGCTGCTGATCCAAAGAGTGATTAATGTGATTTGCTATCATACCAAAAAGTTGAATCAGAGTTCACGTTTACAGCTTGCTCCCCGAGCTCTAGATTCAAGCTGATAGACTCAAGACTGTGGAAGAGTTGGAACAAGACTAGTGGAGACTGTTTGCCTGAACATAAAGCCACCCTGACATTTGCCTTCCTGCATCGTAGATGGCATGAACTGCGGCAGTCAGCAAGACTCTAGACACAACTTGTCGAGTGAAACCCACTGCAAGTCGAGTGGGTGGAGGAAGGCCTAGTAAACATCGCCTTCGTTTGTCTGGTATCTATTGGATTTGATCCAGGCACCTAAACAACGGCTGCTTCAAGTTTTCACATTCACTGTTCGTTGATATGGCACTGGCCTGGGCACAACGTCACGATGGGGAGGCAGGGCCCGGGAACACACAATAATTTGGCACCAATAGTACTATAGAAAGCTCAAGTTGGGAGCAATCAGCGTCAACTTTGTGCTCAAGAGTAAACTTGCCAATGCTAGTTTTGGTAGAAGCAGAGTGTTGGTTCCTGTGCAGAATTCTGCGGTGAACGCCCTGCTCGGTCTGCAGAATTCACCCTCCGCCAGTGCGGAGCCAAGCTGCAGAGTCAGTTTAAAAGCCCTGCAAGCTGCAAGAGCATGGCAAACTAGTTTGATGGCTCCAGAGGCAGCCAAGCAGCCGAAGCTGAGAAACCAGCCAAGGCTCACGGCACAAATTGGTTGCATCGAATAGCATAAAGCAAGCAGGGTGCATAAAGCATTGATTGTCATGCATCAACGGTCGAATCAATGGTCAAACATTCTCTCGGCGTCACGTTGACTTATATGTGTTATAGAATGACCAAGGGTGACTTGTCGCCTTCAGTTGTAGAGTCAAAGCTTTCGTCGTGTTTCACCTCGCTAGATTTCTTCAGGACAGCCTTCCAGAGGGATATTGCCTGGTCTTTACTTTGGTATGGGCCTAAGCAGCCAGTGCCAACTGCCAAGTGTATTTTCAAGCAAGTGGACTTGTACCAACTGCTTGAACTGTTGAAGCGATGGCTCGTTTTTGACATCTGGATATTGACAGGTCCTGCCAGATGGTCTGGGAGATTTGATTTTTGGAGAGAATGCTTGGAACCACAGAATTTGAATGCACAGAGATGGGATTTCGGTCACAATACCTCAAGGCTGTTGAAGAGCTGCTCGACCTGGGCCCTGTTGCGTGGGCTGCAGCCTTTGTTGTACTTCTGAAAGAGCAAAACTGCAGCCATGAAAAAAGCTGCGACTTCATGTGAAAGAAGTGCACGAGGAGACGTACAACAGGGGTAAAGGGCTCCAGGGTTTTGCAGCCGACTCTTTACTGTCACCTGGACACGGGTCCCGCGAGAGTGGAGGTTCCCATTTCCCAATTTTTGGAATGGAAAAGAAGTATGCCTTTGTTACTAGTAGCGTCCTTGCTCCTAGTAGCGGTGCCATTTGCTCCTAGTAGCGTCCTTGCTCCAATGTTGGGCCAATTGGGGCCCAGCCCAGGTCAGATGCCATGTGAGCGATGTCCTGCCCTCGAGTAGTGACACCAAGACAGAAAGGTTGGAGTCGTGAAGAAAGCATGAGCTTGGGGTAGATTTCCCTTCCATTCCGGAAGATGCTCCTATTCCTATTTGCATCGGGAGGTTGATTGGTTGATGGAATTTCGGAGTTTTTGGCAATCATTTGGAAAGCCATGTGGTATTGACCGGAGAAGCCCGATGGCTTAAAGCGCACACACTGCACTCTGTGGCTTAAATATGTGCCAGCCAAGCGTGGAGCTTCTAAATTCGGTGCCAAGAGTCCCAAGATAGCCTTCTTGCGTCCTTGTTACTACTAGTAAGGCACTTGTTACTAGAAGCGATGCACTTGTTCCTAGTAGCTTCTTGTTTCCTAGGAGCAAGAAGGCTCCTGGTAGTAAGGCCAGGAGCCCATCGTAGCGTCCTTGCTCCTACTTGTTTCCCTACTTCCCTCCTTGTATGTTTGCAGCTTGGCATGAAATGGTCTGGCCGGTCTTGTCAGTCCGGAACCGTCATTCTTTGTCGGCCTTGATTCCCCAAACAGCTTTCCCGGACTGAAATGGGATGAAATGGGTCTCTGACCCACATTCCGACTTTCACAGCTTGTCTGCCATTGTTTCACTCTATTTCTGCATTATTTATTTATATTTATTTTTGTGTTTGCTGACTCAGCTGTCATGAGATGACTTGTTTCTTGTATCTGATGCTTACGAAAGCAGTCTCACCCAACTTTCGTCTTTGGGTGGGACAGGCGACAATGGAAGACGAATCGGTCATTTCCTTTCTGGTCCCATTCTTTTCGACAAGAGCCACCCCAAAGTTACTGGGAGCCTGAGAACCAAGAGATTCTGGATGTTCTTCAAGCAGTCTGAGGAACAGCTCGAACCTGGCGAGCAGCTCGTTGCCAAAACAGCAAGCAAACTTTGCTTCAACTTGGCGCAGCCCTGGCTGATGAGAGCACATTCTGAATTTGGGAGAACTCAAGGGTGAAGCGATGTGAGCACAAATTGTGAGCACAGAACTCCAAGGGATATCCAGCCCAGCCAGGTCCTCTGGAAAATCAAGCCTTTGTCGAAAGATCAGCGCCTCGGAATGCCACAGCGTCACCGTTCGTCAGTGGCGGAGCGGAGCGTTCGTTGGAGGCCCAGAACGCTTGGAGAAGCTGTGGCTCGATGCGAAGCAGTGCTTTTTGGCACCGTGGATCTTCGGCCTTTCCGAAAACGACCAGGCCAGAGGCTGCCAGAGGTGTTTCGGGCCGTGCGGGCCATGCGCGTGGTTCTGTTTTGTTTTGTTTGGTAAAGGTTTCAAGGTTTTGACGATTCATATATAAGCTCTTGACTCCTGTTTTGAACGATTTTGCATCTTGCAGTGCAAGTCTAGAGGGTTTCTGTATGGAGTGGGATTTTGTCTGCATCAACTTACCTTCATCATATCTGTCACTGAAGAAGCAAGTCCGTTGTTCTACCCATGCCCCGCTGAAGGCTTTAATGCAAGAGTCTTGGTTCGATGTTGAACTGTGAAGTCTTCAGCTTCCTGCTGATTCGATGCTACTCTGGCTCTAGTTCAAAAGTCAACGAACATAGGTCATCATTGGTTTGTCAACAAGACATGCTTTTTGCCAAAGATATCGGCGTGGTACTTTGATAGTTTTTCTCAAGCTTAGTGGTAACTCTGCACGACCTGAGCCGTATGAATGGACACTCAGGCAGGCTTGCGAAGCTTGCGAAAGCACGGGCCTTCGTGCCAAATAAACTCGGTGACGAAACCAAGTCATTCTCAAGTCACGGCGCCGAGTCAACTGACGTGACAAGTTCTTCAGACGTGACAGGTGACCAAGTGGGGAGCTGAGACGAAACGGACCAGACCCCGTCGGGAACCGCCACACCTTCGTCGGGTGAGCTTCGCTCGCTCGACCCAGGTCGATGCCCTTCGGTCTTTAGACCCCCACGATGCCAAGACAGTGGCCAAGCAGCTGTGCTACCGGATTCCCGAGTCCAAGGCGCGAGGACGAAGAACGTTGGGATCCCGACGGTCCCAATCCCCCAAAGTTCGCTGAGACCTGCTTCGGCTTTCTAATCATTTATCTAGAAGGGGAATCCTTGTGGCTGCATCATCAGCCGAATCAGCACGATTGTACTGCCGTCATGGTGTACTTACAAGCTCACTAAGCCAGTGTGTTTGTCCGCAGATGTCTAGCGGCTCCTTTGTTTGAAGAGGTTCAAACAGTGCCCTACATCAGGCAAAGATCATGACCGGTAGCAGAAAGGGTCTTAGCCAATGCACAATCAAGAGGTAAAGGGTGAACGCAACATGTTGACATTCTGCTTCAGACTTCAAAGTAGCAACTTTCGCAAAGAAAGTGCAAGCACAACCAACAGTTCAGAAGAGTTTGATGTTCAACAAGTGACAAGTGATTTGAGGGCAGACCTGCCTTTTGCCTCCCGTGGTCGGTTGCCATGCAAGGCAACAATGCCAACAATCCGCGCATGGCTATGGGTAACATGTCTGGAATGATGCCCATGGGCGTGGGCATGCCCATGATGCCAATGGGCATGCCAATGGGCATGCCAATGGGGATGCCCATGATGAATCCCATGATGGCAATGCCTATGATGAACCCAATGATGGGCATGGGCATGAATTCCAATATGGGGGCAAATGCCAACATGAGCGCAACCCCAACGACGGGCACGAGCCCGACTATGGGTGGGTCTCAGCAGGTGCAAGGAAGCCCCAAGGTGCCCTCATCCGCTGCTGGCGGGGTTTCTCCTGGTCCTATCAAGCCCATGGCGGAGGCTCAGCACAGTGCTGAGCCGAGCAAAGTGGGATCAGGCATGTCAGGCATGTCAGGCATGCTGCAGCGTGAGCGGAGCCGCAGTAGAGATGTTGACCGGGATGCAGGGGGAGGTCCTAGCCAACAGCCTGAGGAGGAGCATAAAGAGCCACCAAAAGAGAAGTTATGTCCTCCCTGCCATTTGCACAATGTAAAGAAGCCCAATGCCAAGTGCAAGTTCTGCCAGAAGTGGCTAGCAAGTCAGAAGGCACAAGAGAAAGAGGAGAAAGAAGGAGAGCCAAAAGATGAGAAGGCAAAAATAAGTCAAGCACAGCAGGCACAGCTGGATGATGAAGAGGACTATTCCCGTCGCACATTCAAGTGCAGCACCTTGTTGAAGGATCAGATTTTCGGTTCCAGCTACTTCAAAAGCTTGTTAGAAGTTAGCGATCTCGAACCTCTCGCGGAAGAGATTGCCAAGTATGCTGACACGCTTGATGTTTACAATTCCGGGAACAATGTCCATCCGTCCTGCTTCATCTGCCAGGTGTACAGGCTCTTCACCTTGCCCCAATCGGAGGACTTGGATGGGCTTCTTGCAGTTCTTGATGCTAACCCATCTGCCAAAGTCCGTTGTGCAGGGGTTTTGTATGTCCGCTTTGTGGTGCCCCCACACAAGCTCTTGGAGAGGCTTGAGGAGATGCTTTTTGACGAGCAAGAGCTCAAGTATCTTGATGGTGACAAGCAGGTCACCACAACAATCCAAGAATATGTTGAGAACCTTCTGATCAGAGACAAGTACTACAATACACCTTTGCCCAGAATACCAGTGAAGGTTCGACAACATCTTGAAAAAGAGTTGGCGCCACTATCTCAATTTCGCAAGCGGATGGCTGCGATGCAGAAAGCGCTACCCAAAAAGGTCGCTGGAATGCCTGTTGAGGTGTATATCGATGGGAGCTGGCACCCGGGCCACATCAAGACTTTCATAGGACACCGCAGAAGAAGGGTAGGTGTGCATCTAGAGAATGGTGCTTTGATCAGTTCTCATTTAGGGAAAGTTATACTTCGAGATGGAGGCGAGAACAAGACTGACGAGAGGGATGAGAAGGATGAAAAGGAGAAAGGTGACGAGAAGGAGGGAGATGAGAAGAAAGAGAAGGATGATAGGAAGGAGAAAAGAGATTCTGATCACAGACCGAGCAATAGCAGAAGTCGAAGCCGCCGAAGCAGCCGCAGCAGGCATCGCAGCAGGAGTCGCAGGCATCGCTCTCGCTCACCTGATTGGACCCGATATAAGGGTTCGATTGCAGACCAAAGTGAGATTGAACGATTGCGGGAAAAGGCCCGTGAAGAGGCAGTGGTTGGCGTGGGCAAGGTCTACTCCAAAAGACCCACCACAGTTGAGGGTGAGATGTGGCGTGGAAGTGGAGGAGATGTTCGCGTCTCTATGCTTGGCCCCCAACATAGTAGTAGTACAGGTTCCAGACCCTTGACAGCGCAAGGTCATTCTGATCCTGAAGTGCGGACCAGGATTTCGCTGGAAGAAGAGGCGGAACACAAACGGCGAATGCGGGAGATCTATGAGAAGTATGGCTCTGTGTCGAAAGCTACTTCTGGAAGCAGCGGTCAACGCTCAGAGATCGAGCAGCCAGATGTACTTCGCTTGGGCTGAGAGGGCATAGGGAGCATCCAAAAACATTTGGCCAGTGGAAAAGCACGGTCCATGCAGTGGACAGAGTTTCGTGGTTTGTGCAAGTTCTTTAACCTTCCAAGTTCTCTAACCAGATGGGTCGATTGAGTGGAATGGACCGAGTGGTTGGTGAGTGCCAAGGATTCCCTCTACTTCATTTTGCGTGGCCTTGGCCTTCCTGTGACAGGAGAGTTGGGGTGCCCAGCACGTTTCCGTTTTGAGTCGAGGCTAGATTTTCACTCTGGCCTTTGACGTCAGCCGTTCCTCTCAAGCTTACAAAGTGGGGGCTTGAAGCTCCAAATGTAGATAGATAGTCTTATTGTTGAAGTGACTGGCATTTCATGTTTGCTCTTTGCGGTCCAGGGTTTGACCTGCCATATACATAGTACATGGACTGAAAGGTTTGACCTGACATGCATCATATTCAGTGGTACTGGTACTAAGAGGATGTTCTCATCACTGCGACTGCAACACAGCATGCAACTGATGGCTCCTCGGACACTGTCATTGGCCCATGCATCGAACTGCCAGAAGAGGTTCTTCGAAGGACTGATGCCATGCAACTGCCATTCCGTCCATGTTCTTAGTGACTTTCACGTTTCTTGTTGCTGGTTGTGAGGGGTACAGTGGTTGACTCCTACTACCTAAGTGACTTGAAGATATCTAAGGCCTTTTTCCATGCGGGTGTTCCTTGTTTCTCAAGCCTTGCGGTCAGGCCAAGCTGGAGGTGTGAGTAGTGAATGAAGTGAGTGTGTGGTGGTTGCACAGGGTCATTTTGGCAAGGTGGACGCAGCACAGCGTGGGGAGATGTAAGGTTGAATCTGGTGTGCCGGTACAGAAAGAAGATGAAAGAAGCGTTGGGATTGATGTTTGCATTGGAGCGTGCATTGTTGTAAGGTGCTAGAGATGCAAGTGACAGCAAAAAGCATTCGTAGCATTATTTTGGGTGCCAGGCGGTCATTGTGGGTCAGAAGATGGCAACAGCACGGAAGGAACAGGAAGCCTCGCAGCTGTTTTGCTTCTGCTCTGCTGCTGCGGTGCTGCGTTATTTGAGTGGGAGGGCTGATAAAGATAAATACTGTTGTTGAGGCTATATTCGTGGGCACGTTTTGAGCGTGGAAGGGAGAAAGCAGCAACACAGAAGGAACACAGAGTTCGGCTGCTTTGCTGCTGCCCTGCTGCTCTGATGCTCTCTTGGTGTGTTGCTTGGACTGATCCGGATCAGCGCGTGAAATACTACAGTACAGTTATTTTTTCTGCTGAGTGCCTAATGAGTGGCAGTTTTCTCTTCACTCAGCCACAGCCTACATCCTGGTCCAGATGTCCTGACAGTAGAAGGGCACGGCATTGTAACATTTGCTGCGTGCATTGCACGATGATAAAGTGATTCTGTGGAGGGTGAAATGATGAACTCGGGGCACCTTGACTCTCTCAGATCGGGGCACAATTTCGCTTCCCTTCCTCTTCTTCTTGTTCTACGTGTTCCTTCGGTGCTGTTGGACCAAAGATAACCAAGCTGAGCCAGACTCACAGCGTTCTATATACAGTATTCCGCCTTCTTCCCATGATGTCCGTGAATATGACCTCAAGACCACTTTCTCCAGGTCTTCTTTTGGAAAAGGGAGGAGACAAAAGCCAGCACCGTGTGAAATAAGTCTGTCCTGCGCGGGGTGGCTTTGGTCTCCTTCCTTTCCAGGTATAAGCCTTAAGGCAAGCAAACTTATTTGGTTGAGGCACGGCAACCAAGACTCCGGGACTCCGTTTTTGTGGCAGCTTTATGTCAGGGTTTTTGGGTGAGAACCACCAAGGTGGAGGCACAGATTTGCTGTGGAAAAACAAAAGTGTTCAGAAATCCTCCTAAAGAATCAAGCACCTGTTGTACCTACTAAGTGCTACAATGGTCAAGGCTGACCTCCCTCCTCAATTCACTGCCGACCCTTCAGGCTTGGCTGCCAGCTTTAGTACTTGTAGTCGAGGTGCTGGTGCGCCCTACAAGTATAAGAAACTTGGCAGCTTTTTGAACTGTGAACATGTCGAAACAGATATTCAGCTCATCACTCTTTTTGTTTTCAGAGGATCCTTGTTTGTGTGCAGCTTCACAGATGTGGGCAACAAAATCGGCGAGTTCGAAGAACTAAGGCAAACCTTTGAGTTCTCAGGGCTGTTTTGCAAGTCTGAGTTCTGGATCCCAACGAGAGGACTTTTGGCCAGATGACTCCTGTGCTTATGTCATCAACCTGGCGCGGCGACCTGATCGACTTCGACGACTTCACAAACTCTTAGCATCAACCAATCCCAGCCTCATGGACAAGTTGCAACGCCCTCTTGGTTCTCAGATTCACAAGTTTTTTTTCTTCGCATTTTTCTCGAAGTCTCTTTTTGGTGTAACTCACTTGTTCACAACTGTTCTGTTTGATCGCCGAGTGACGACTGTTTGATTCTTAGCCTTTATAGATCTTTGTAGTATACTGAGGTATTGATGCTGTTGATGGCCAGAATATTTCGTTGGATTCGTTACATGCTAAGCGCGTGGTTGAAGAATCCGCTCTAATACGCGCAAAGCGAGCACAGCGGTTGGGCTTGTATAGCATTGTTCATGACGCAGAGAACAATCTGGTGAATTTCGACGATCATTTGACAGAAGGAGCAGTAGCCTGTGCAATGTCTCACTACAACGCTCTCAAAAAGGTGGCAGAGCATCCGGCAGATTGGGGCCTAATCCTCGAAGATGACCTGTCTCTGGCAGTCCCTTATGTTCACCGAGAGATTCGCGGAATTCTGAAGCAGCTGCCTTTGGATTGGACAGCTGTGTTTCTTGGCTATCACAACAAGTATGGCCGTCCTCACCCTCGCGCTGTCAATTCAACAGGGAATTGGTCTGATGACGGTGTTGAGAAGGCGTGATCTCGTGTTTGCAACACTTCAAGTTCCAACGATTGGTTATCAAGACTTTGCAGATCTACAAGTACAACGTACGCTGTACACCCACTCTCGTCGAATCTCACCAAAGTACGTGAAGGTTTCCAAGTTTCCCGGACGGCCGCCCCTGGCAGTAGTTGACAGGTGTTCACCTGCCAGTAGTTAAACACCTGTCAACTACTGTCAGTTGAAAGGTAGATACAGTAGATAACCACCACAAGGGCTCATTTTAGTGTTGTCAATTATTCCATTGATTTGGTTTTGTGGAATCCTTTTCCCTTGATGTTGGGGGGATTTGGGTGCTCCCGGCGTGAAAGATTCTTCTAGCGAATCTCATGCAACAAAAACAGCATTTTTGAAGCCCAGAGGAGCCCATCTTTGAGATCCACGACCACTCTTGGGGCTTATACGCATGGATGGTGAAGAAAGATGCCGCAAAGTCGCTCATTCAGAATCTTTTTCCGTACCTTCGGCCAAAAAAGAAGTGCCAAAAGTCTACAAAGCATTGCTCCTAGTAGCTTCTTGCTCCTAGTAGCGATGCCAGTTCCGAAACAAGGATCAGCAGCCAAGTTGACTACGCCATTTCCAGATATCTCATCACCACGCCGCTTAGCAAATGGATAGGTTCAGCACTTGAAAAGCATGTCCTTCCAAGATTGATCTTTTTGCAGTGCACAAGGGTTGCGACAAGAGTTCTGCGAAGCCTTGTGGCCTTCCTCTGTCCTTCTTTGGGGTATGACAACATTTGTCAACACTCTCAGGCACGGTGGCGTCTATAGTGTGCATCCTGACCGTTTGTTGTTCTACAGTCCAACAAGTGCCTGGCCAGGGGATAGTTGATGCTTTTGGGTTCTTGTGCTCGTTTTAGCACCACAAACTTCAGCACGTAGGCTCTTCCAATCTGCAGACTCTTCGAAGAAAAGAATCACTCTTCAGACATGATGAATTGAATAAAACTGCTTGAGCAGTCCAGGTGAAGAAGGTCAAGACTCGGATATTCAATCGATGCGGAGTGAGGAGGAGGTGGTCCAGGAATTCGGCTCGTGGCACGACTATCTTGAACTGCAGAGGCCTGCCGTCGACTCCCAGGATGGCAACGCCTTGTGAGATTCTGATACAAAATGCTATCCAACCTAATTACTAGCGATGGCCCCTCCTATCTGTGGTCTATGTCGTCTATGCTGATGTGTCACACAGGCCGAGCTCGTACGACGAGTTGGCGACCGAGGATCGGGCTACAGTAAGTCCTTGGATGTGTTTGGATATATCATGCGCCCACGTCATGTGACATGTCTCCAACTGCAAGATGGGTTGGACATGGTTGGACCTAAAATCTTTGATCCGGTGGGTTTGTGTCGCAGGACCTCTATGGTTCTCTGGACGAGGACTGGCCTGAGGCTGAATGGAGCCCTTGAGTTTCAACCTCACAAGATCAGACTGCCTGTGTGCAATCGAAAAAGGGACGTGAGGAATGAGCTATACCTCGAAATTGGATGTTTGAGATAGTTGCGTCGGCGGCAAGATTGTTGCCAGCTGGTCTTGCAAGTCTTATATAGATCCTTCTGCCAGATTTTGCAAAGCTTCTGAGTAGGTTGCCAGGTGCTGATTGAGCTTCTTGTGCAACACGTATCGGGCGGAAGGTTAAGGCAACACCTCCCAGGGTTGTCCAGGTTCACCGGAGAAAGATTTGCGTCCTTTTCCCAGGCTTGGATCAACACCCCGAGTCGAAGTGGATGCCAAAGAGTATCCGACACTCTGGAGAGCTCTCGATTGTACGGAGCCCCGAAGCACAGGTCGAATCAACTTGACTCCAGTAGTTTTTGATTGCCCAACTGTCTAGAGTCTAGCTTTCCATGTGGTGCAACATTGTACTTCTGGGCTGAGCTTCCTTGATGTTGCTTTTTGAGATGAGATTCATGCTGCGATGAACGGCAGAGGTCTTTTCCAAAATGGCAGATATTTTAATGGTTCATGACAAAGCTTCATTCCTTGTCGTGAAACGACAGGGTTTTCCCACTGCTGTCTAAGCTCGCTGACGTTCCAAGCACCGTATCCAGAACTGTTTCTATCTCATCGAGCACAGCTCCTTTCACCCAGTTGGGTGTGTTTTCCTTTCGATCTCATTGCGCAAGTAGGTCCCAAACTAGACCAAGCTTTTCTTATGTTTCCGGGTGCCCACAGTTTAGCGCCCTACATGGTAGAGCAGCATTCGACCAGGGGTGCATGGCCGATCGGCAGACCTCCTTGCTCCTCCATGGCGTTGCTGATGCGCTCCCCTCGCTGTTGGGGCCATCGTCTGTCCGCCTCGCAGCACTGGCGAGAGGCATGTTCAAAGGTGTGCATAGTTTTGTTCACTGATTTACATCCTTATTCTCAACCCTTCTGCATCAGTGATTTGGTGCCCGGCCTTGGAGGTTTTCGTGCAGTTTTTGAGCTTGTCAAGGCACGAAAAGAGGGACACAGGGAAATCATGAGAAATCACGGAAGGGTCTTGCAGAGTCTACACAGTGGCCCCATCAGCTCAGGTTCGGCGTTCTTGTTTGGCTGAACAACCATGGCTCTTGGTGACCACAGAAGACGCAAGCTTTGCTCTCCGGACAGGTGACGATGTCTTGAAGGGGGTGAGGCGACAAATTCCTGACACAGGGGTCATCTCAAGATGCTTAAGCCAGATTCAAATCTCAGAAAATGTGTTACTGAAGTATATGAAGTAAAACAGTTTGTTGCCTTGTGCTATATACTACATACGTCTCTATAATTCTCTCTCTCTCTCTCTCTCCCTCTCTCTCTCTCTCCCCCTCTCTCTATATACACCCATGTGGTATATTACTATGTGTACTTTACGTCATGTTTGTGTTTTGTGCTGGAGGTGATGGCCTGTTGATGCCATGGCCAAGTGATTTTCAAGTGGATGCCGTGCTGTGTGTTGCCAAGATCCAACACATCTTTGCCATGTCTTCAGAGACTTGAACGCTACTAGGAACAAGAAGCTACTAGGGGCTCCTGGCCATACTACTAGGAGCAAGGACGCCACTAGCGGCTCCTGGCATCGCTACTAGGAACAAGGACGCTACTAGGGGCTCCTGGCATCGCTACTAGGAGCAAGAAGCTTGGTGGAAGAGCCACTCGTTTGCCTCGGCGATCTGCATGGACGAAGCACCTCGCGGTGCACGACGACCTCGTCGACTGAGGAAACCGCAGATTCGAAGCTCTGTGCTTGGGACCAGTGGGATGGCCAGACAAAATGGCAGGTTCAGACTGGTCGGAAACTCTTGCGTCCGCTCTACTTCCTAGCTCCCCCGCAGCATTTGAATCGGGTTTTGAGACTTTTAGATTTGTGAGGTTAAACATTGGGGTGAAGCAGCCCCGCGTTGCTGACACCTTTAAATACCAGCACATACTTTAAAAGAACATGTTGTGTCATGCCAAGATTGGCTCAACTCAACCAAGGACAATATCTGTGCCCTTTGTGCTGGTTGCTTTGAGGGTGTTCTTCTTTGGGACGCTCTTAGTGGTGTGAACCTCCGACAACTGGCCACGCCGCTACCAGCAGACCGGATTTGGCTACATGGCTGGTGGTCAGGGGGAAGCAAGGTGTAGAGATGTGCACAGTTTGCAAATAACCTGGATTTTAAGATATTCACGTGCGGAATTGCTTGAAGAAAGTGGCAGTAGCAAACTTGGTAGAAACATCATTCCTTTCTAAGCTGGGGTAGGTGACACAGATGTGGTAGATCCTAGAGGTCCCAGAGCAGCACAGGCTCCTATCAGAGATGTCTACAGGTACATGACGCCTACTCAACCTAGACAGCTTGAAGCCGGCATACTGAGGTACTTTGATGAGTAGCTTGACAGCAATGAATGCTGTTCGCTGTGTCGACATGCGTTTGGCTTGTAGACCTGTTGGCTGCTTGTGCTGAAGGCCCAACTTGCTATGTGCACGAAGCAGTGAAGTCTTGGGGCTCACCTCGCAGCTGCTGGTTTGGAGCACATGCAAGTGGCAGACAGACTTTCAGCACATTATAAACTATATATATATATGTATGCTGTATATTTTTTGCAAGAGTCGCTTGAGCATCGGACTGAGAAAGCTCGTGGAGGATTAATGGTGTGACACCCTCATACAGTAATATTAATGGTGACATGTTGTTGGAGATTCCTTTCTGTGGGTTCCCCTCTTTTTCGCCATCAGCTTTGATGCTTTGCTTTGATGAGGAAAAGACAACTGAGATTTCATGGGAGAAGACCAGTACCGAGATGATTATGGCCGTCACTTGTAACCATCGGCACCTGTTTGCCCGCTTGGGTGCAACAATACATGCCTGGGATGCTACGACTGGCCGAGAGCTTTGGAGGTGGAAGGAGCTGCTTGAAATAAAGTAGATAGTGGTATAGTGGTCCTCAAATAGATAGAAACGGTTTCCAATTACAGATTGTACTTTTCTATCTATTTGGGGGTCCATATACTTGTTTTTGAATTTTTCAGTCTCCCTTCTTCAGCCAAAGCACGAAAGTTGTGGGTTGACATAGAAGCGTGAATCCATTATCTGCTGTTGACATCAAGATGGGTCACGAGTACATCACACAGCCCTTGCTCCCAAAGTAGGACTGTTGATATGTATATATATATACACACATTTATCTTGCCGGGTTTCACTTGAGACAGCGAGTCATTTCAAGCATTCCATTAATTGAAATTTTTACATGAAATCCCAGACCATTTACTTCTTCTTTGTTTGATTGGCTTGGGTACCCACCACTCGACTCAGCCCACATTTGATCCACGAGGCCTGTATTCACTTGGATCTCACTGTAACTTGCCACCTTTGCTTTGTGATTGCAGTCTCCTGCAGAATGCACACCAAACCTGTGCTTCAAGTTGTATTCTTTGGCCAGGCGCAAGTAGCAACACCACCAACAAGAACACACCACCGACCAAAAAAGAGATTGATAGACGGTCTGACGGTCTGCGGCTGTAACAGCCTAGCATCAAGTGCGTTTGCAACTTCCAAGGAACGACACCACCCCACCCCACCCTGGCCTGCGTAGTCAAGCGTGTCTCAACTACACTAGCGCTCAAAACGTTGACCTAAAGTGATTAAATGGAAGAGTGAACAATACCATATTATAAAGAAGTACAAAAATGTTTAGAATATGTCCAAAGCCAACTGTCCCCACGCATAAAATCAGGGATGGCCGGATACGGGACGTGGACCACCCAGAAGGAAGATGGCTGATATTTCTATGTTTTTGCACAGGTAATTGGAACTGAAGCATGCAGTCGAGGCAGATGCTGCCGCGCTTGCCAACTGTCCCCACCCAGATTCAGCATGTGAGTGGCAGACTGTATGTGGCCGCAGGCCATTTCATTTTTGCTTTGCAACTCGGCGCTAGTTTTTGACCAGAAAACTACATCAAAATGTATGCACAGCGCCACATCCACATTGCTGAGGGATGTGGACAGCGGGGGTTTGCTCTTCAAAATTGCGCACCTCAGCTCATATGTGTGGGTCGTTGATCAGCAATGGGCGGAAAACATCGTTTCAAAGCCATTGTCACATACATTGTACGCAATTTGAGAAGAGCGTCGTTTCTCGCTTTGGCGGTGATTTCTGCGAGTTTCAGGACTGTTGGGTCTGTGGTCAAAGCTTTCCCTATCGATGCTTCCAGTACTTGCATGGTGTCTTGGCGAGCAAGGAGGGAACCCTTTTAGATAACTTTTGCTGGGCTCACTTCGAGTGGCAGACAATCTGTCAAATGGCAACGGTTCCGGCCAGCCTCTAGCTCCCATGATTCTTCGCAGCAGCTCTCTAACGAAAGCAACGCACACCACACAAATTGCAAACACGCGCACACACCCACACAGACACATTCACGGCTCTTGCTCCTCTTGAGGCCTCTTTGATCAGATCCAGTGGCTATGCCCTGGGCTTTTTGGACCTGTCTCAAGGCATGGTATAGACATCGCTGTTCAAGTGACATGCGGCCTGCAATAACTCAGTCAGGTGCTTTGCAGCTGGCAACGTTGAAAAGGGGCGAAATTCCCAAGACATCAATCACATGGAAAAGCTTAGCACCTTGGCTCGAGTTGTTGATTAACGCTTTGGACCCCATGCAGACTGTGTGACATGAGTCAGTCATGAGGTCATTGTGGCGATCACTTGGGATTCATGTGATGATGGCAGCGCCTTATTGGCGTGGGACTTCTCAAATGGAAGCTTTCTTTGGGACACATGCTTTGAGAAGACTCTGCAAAGTCTCTCATCAGACAGCTGCTGCATTTTCGCAGGGGGCGTTGATTTTGTCTCCGCTGTGAATCCGCATGATGGGTCCCTGCTTTGGGCGACTGAAATTGATGGGATGGCCAAAGCCTTGACCTTGATCTCACCACAGCGGAGGAAAAATGCGTTTCCAAGCAGTTCCGAGCAGTCAAGAAAAGTGTCAGTGGATGGTCAATACTTTGATTTGCACCCTTCTACTCAGGCATTCTGCTTTGTCTTTTCTTTGCGCTTGGCACAAGGCTTACGTGTTCCTCATGATGGCAAGCTCATGGTCATCAAGGCGGAACTGTGGCCGCTTCTCTTTGCAGATTCCGACGTCTCTGGATGTCAAAAAGCAGAAAGACGATGAGATGTTGAAAAGGAGCTACACCCCAAAAGAGCACAGTAGCATGACAACAATGCGTGAATCAAGACTCATTGTGTCTGACACTGTTCAGTTGAAGGCTGAGAGCCCATCCTTAGATGCATTGTGTGGGAAGCCCGCTGAGAAAAGAGGCCTTCAATGCGGTTGCTTGTCGTCACTTGTGAGAGAAGCTTTCTCATGTTTGTCAGAACATGCCTGGCATTTCTGTGCGGTTGAAAATGGATAAGACGCATTTGCAGGTGTGCAGCGGCCGACTTCTGCAGTGAAAGGCCAACCCCCCTATGCCGTATGCCATCCGAGCCTCTAGAAACTCAGTCGAATGCACGCACTACACCCCCACAGCTTTTTGTGTTGGTGCAGTACCATTCATGGACCTGAGCGACTGGGCAATTGTGCATTGATGAAGCTGAGCGACTGACCTTAACAATGGGCAAACAAACGTGGCGAGCCACTCGTTTGGGCCCACTCGTGTGGCGAGAGAGCCCTGACAGGTGGCCCACCGGCACCACCGGCACCTGAGCCAAGAGAGGAGATTGAGCCGATCAGGCCAGCCGAGATTGAGCCATCTTGAGTCTTGGTTGGCTTTTTGATTTGGTTACTTTGTTTGTTCTCTCTTGTTTTTGGACTCACCTTCTGCCAGGTTGTGTCTTGACCTTTTTCTTGCTTGGGCCGAGGTCAGTACCAAGTTCCCGACCACAGTCTGCGTCCTGCGCTGAGAACGTCGCTTCTGAAGGTCTTGGTGATAGTTTCAGAAAGTTCAAGGCTTGAGCTTATCTCTAGTGTCTTTAGTGCTGATGCCTTTACACTCAAGGACCCTGCCTTCACTTCACTGCCATTTTTCGTCCAAACCACCAGAAAGGAACATCTCCAAGTGTACACATACAAGTGAGGCAGCCTTCACAACTGTTGAGTTGCTTTACTTTGCTTTTGTGTTGGAAAAGACGGGGTGACAAGAACCATGTTCATGATAAGCTTTACTTTGTGCAACATATGCAAGCCACAGGAGCTGTTTGCCACGCTCTTCTATATACATATATGTTTATACTTGTTTGTAATGAAAAAACACCTACAAACCTACAAAGATCCTGCAAACCGCTTTTGGCATCCCAAGGCAGCGCTGCTCCAGCGGGTATCCTTCAACCTCATTACCAAAGCTACTTGCTCTTCCAGGGCAGGCAGGACAGTGGAGGTGGAGAGTGTGCACGTTTCAGACATTCTGTCATCACGGCACATGGTGCTGAGGTTCCTCTAGGCATCTACGTCCCTTCAATCTTGCGGTGTATTGCTTTCTCATATTCGTTGAATCCCAGACCTTAACACCCTCACACATCATGTGATCACCGCGATGCCTCCCCCTTTGTTCTGGCTTGTGACACGTCTTTTTGCTCGACCCATTCTGAAATGTACAATTTCTTTATCACCTGCGATGTTCAATGGCCGTTCTGTTATGCCTTTTTGGGGCTCCATGCTTTACCACAATGATCATTACTTGTACTGTGATGGTGGCAAACAATAGCAAGCAAAGCTTCAAAATCGTGCCAGGGTTTGCAATCTGTCGCCAGGCGGATCCAAACTCCTTCTTGCACGAGCATGCTTGGCAACAAGCACCTGTGCCACAGGCACCTGCTCAGTTCATACAGCGTCAACCAGATGTTAGTGCGAGTTGCCGCTTGTGGCATGCTAGTTGGTGTGGAATGACCTCAGCATTAAGGGCTCAAAAGCAAACTGAAAGCCTTTCCCACCGTTTCCCACCATGGCTGAGGGCCGAGTGTACAACTTCTCAGCAGGACCCAGTGCCATGCCACTGGAGGTGCTTGAGGAGGTTCAGCGCGAAATGGTGAACTACAAAGGTTGTGGCATGAGCGTCATGGAGATGTCGCATCGTTCCAAGGAGTTCATGGCCATTGCCGCCGAAGCCGAAAAGAATTTGAGGGATATCTTTGGCGTTCCAAGCGATTACAAAGTCCTCATGATGCAGGGAGGAGCGACTTTGCAGTTCTCCTCGATTCCGCTGAACATGCTCGGAAGCAAGACCAAGGCCGACTACCTTGTGACCGGGCAATGGGGTGAGAAAGCACACAAGGAGTGCAACAAATATGGGACAGGACAGTTAGCGTGCAACACCAAGGGGACCAAGTTTACCACAATCCCTCAGAAATCAGAGTGGAAGTTGGACCCAGAGGCAGCATATGTGCACTACTGTGCCAATGAGACGGTCAACGGGGTTGAGTTTAGCTACACCCCAGATGTTGACACCGTGCCTCTGGTGGCTGACATGTCATCCAATTTCTGTTCCAAGCCTATTGAAGTGAGCAAGCACGCCTTCATTTATGCAGGCATCCAGAAAAATCTGGGGCCTGCCGGCATGTCCGTGGGATTCTTACGGCCCGACTTTGCAGATGGCAGCAAGGAGTTGAAGATTTGTCCCACCTACTGCAGCTTCAAGACCACAGGTGACAATGGATCGATGTATAACACACCTGCCTGCTTCACCATGTACGTCATGGGAGAATACTTGAAGTACACCAAGAAGCTGGGTGGTTTGGCCTATTGGGCAGAGCAGTCGGACAAAAAGAGCGGCTTGCTGTATGGGGCCATCGACGGCTCAAATGGCTTCTACAATTGCCCAGTTGAAAAGACTGCAAGGTCACGAATGAACGTGCCTTTCACGATCAATGGTGGCGATGAAGCTCTTGAAAAGAAGTTCTTGGATGAAGCCAAGAAGCACAAGCTCTATACCCTTGCGGGTCATCGTTCAGTGGGTGGCTGCCGAGCTTCCCTTTACAATGGCTTGCCTCTTGAGGGTGTCGCCAAGCTCACCGACTTCATGAAGTCCTTCATGGATGAGAACCGAAAATGAGGGAAAAGCACTCACATGTAGAATGTTTCTAGGCCACGGGTCACCAACTCAGAGTGCAGCTTTTAGTTTGTTCCTGGGTGATCTGGAGGGTTTCTCAGGAGTCTTTTGACAGACCAACTGAAGTTGGTTCTGCAGATTTAAGCTTTTGGAGCGGAAATCTCATTCTTGGCAGAGGGAAAAGCTATATGATGTGGGTGTAGTGGAGGAGGTTTTTGCTAGCTTGCTCCTTCATGAATGGCTGAGGTGACTCTGTGTGGACCATTTTACATTATTGGCAAACTCCTCGCAGTAGTTGGTACAGTAGTAGAATGCCAAAGCGAACGGGTCTGGGGAAGTGGGGAGATGAAGTTGTCCTGGCTTTCAGCAGGCGCCCATGTATCCAGTTGGCCCAACTCGTGGAGCACTTGGGCTGGATGTGAACACTCCAAAGACGCACGTTTTTTCATTTTCGACTTTCTTCAGATTGCACTTGCTGCAATTCAACCGCAGCCATATTGGTTTATATACATTCACAGACAGACGTGCCACAAGCAAACACATAGGAGCCCACACTTATCAATCTGTTGCATATGTTTTGTAAGCTGAAAGCCATTGCTCCTCTTGATGCTTTACATGCTACAACTGAGATGAGATGAACCAGGCCAATCTTGCGTGGAGATGAATCAGAAGGGTCAGAATCAGAAGGGTCAGTATTGAGAAATTAACAGTAAGGTATCTCCGTGAGAGGCAGTCTTGGTGCCGGTGCTGATCGTTGCTGGAATATCTTTGGTGCTGCTCGTTCTCTTCAGTTTTGACACCTTGGAGTACCAGGCGCGCGGGTTAGGTTGCAAGCTTCTGTCTCCTAGGCAATGTACACACCTGCACATTTTCCCCTTGCATCTTTCAAGTTTTTGTCAAGCTTAGATTTCTGAAACGTTTTTCCCTAAGCCGCTTGTTGGCATGGGGCTGATAGCCTCCGCAAAAGAAGTAGGTGGGCTGTTGCCGTGTTTGGAGAGAGAAGATCAACATATTTTTACGTGTATTGGCATGCAGACTTGCTCGGGGACGCTGTGCAAGGAGTATGGATTGAACTATAGTAAGCTTCTCAACAGCAAGTTGGTCTGGGGATGACTCAGAGGACAAGTAGTAGAGGCCTTGTGTCATCTTATTTTTACCAAAATGAAGGTTGCATGGTCCAGCTACACTACTCGAAGTCTCGACGACACTTGCTTTTCTAAGGATCAGCGAGACGGTTGAGAGACATCCGTATACGAGCGGCAGATACTATTTGGGAATTGCCAATCATTTCATTCGATTTCCTCGGATGGATCCTTGACTCACAGTGAGAAAAGCCCATCTCTTGGTCCTCTCCTTGCGTGCTCCGTTGAGACTAGCGCACATTGAGGTGAATTCCGTTCTCTTCAGTGATGAGGATGCTGGGAAAAAGCAGGGGCCTGCTCTACAGAGCCGAACTCGAGATGGCCTGAATGTCAGACTCGAGGCACAATTTAGTTCCAAGAGCGTTCGGATCTGCTGACAGAAGGAGTTATGGGCGAAACAGAACGTCGGGCGAAACAACCGGAAAAGCTTTCCTTGCGCGGTTCAAGTCATCAGGTTTCTTTTCAATACAGATTAAAGTTTGATCGGGTCTACGATCTCTACGCAACCCTTGGAAGCGATTATGAGCCGCACCTCGCATGCAGATGAGGCAAACCTGTGAGAGCCGTTGAGCACGGGGAGATACTAGTAGCTTCTTGTTACTAGTAGTAAGGCCAGGAGCTACTAGTAGCGTCCTTGCTCCTAGTAGCGATGCCCTTTGTTACTAGTAGCGATGCACTTGTTCCCAAGCTGTTCAACCACGGAGCAAGGACATTCTTGCGTATGGCAATCGAGCAGCTGGCCACAGCGGCCACGAACTTTAGATGCAAAGAACTGTTTTGGGTGCCTAAGTGTTTTGCAACGTGTCGGATTGCGGCAGTTTTGCTGAGTTTTTGTTTGTTCCTTATCCAGGGATCACTCTGCGCACTTCTTTTTCACCAATCGCACGGCTATCAGTGCCCCAGCTGCAGACAAGACTCCCGGATGAGCATGGTGGGCCAATACGGGCCAATGCGATAGATCAGTTGATGGTGTCCTGAAAAGTTGACCTGAACTGTTGCAGGTGCGGTGATGCATCAGAGACTTGATGATCACTTCCAGGAGAAGTGTCAAGCACAGAGGAAAGAAAGGAAAACAGAAAGGTCTGCAGATCTAAAGAAAAGCAAAGGAAAAAGCAAAGGAAACAAGCAAGAAGAGAAGGAATGAGATGGGATGAGGATTAGGATTTGGATTGGAATGGGATTGGACGGGGAAGGGAAGGGAGGATCGAGAGAAAGAACGAAAAAGAGCAGATTGACTTCCAAGAGCGATATTTTCAGGGAAAGGACTCAGGAAATTCATCATCGATATACATGATGTGGTTTGTCAGAGAAAGAGTCTTAATGTTGTGAGCTGTTGAGCGAAGCAGGAGAGAGCCTTCTCGGAGGTGCCTTTCTTTCAGCTCAGGACGCACTTGAAACGCTTCCCCACATAGGAGTCTGACATGCTCAGCACAAATCACCTCGAAAGGAGAGTTTTCCTGAGGAAGGCAAGTTCCAAAGTGCATATCTTTGAGCAACCAGGACTGTGCATTTGCCGCATGACTTTGAGGAGGCCATCCGAGAAACACAGGTGAAGCAGCAGGAGCAGCTTGCAAAGGTTGGCTGCTTGATTTTATGGCTACCCTGGACAGCCGCTGCAGGACATTCAGATAGCTACCCTGGAGCAGAAGACCAAGACGGTTACCTTCAAGATACCCGATTGCAGTTTCAGGCAAGTACACCTAGTGCGCCCCCAAAAGGCACCGTTTCGTATTTGCATGTTTGTTGCGCTTGCGGGTGGGCGACAATGGTCCACATCTCCGTAAGAGATCGTAAGAGTAAATGTTTATCCCACGCACAGGACGTGTTTGATCGCGCTTGCACCATGGCATTTTTTTCGAATAGTTTGGTCCGAACACTGAACACCGTCTAAGACGACATAGCGGCCCTACATCAGAGCTTTTCTCGGATCTTGGAGATGCCAGTTTGCTGTGTAGTTCTCGCATCTTTGTGCAACCGCATGAGGACTCGAGTTCTACAGGCGGAGCAGGATGTAAAGGTCTTGGTGAACCAGGCACACCACTTGCGGCACACCACTTGCAAACAGCTTGATGTTTGACTCGTTTCTCAGAGACATTTTACTGCTTTGCCCCGTTATTGGACTTGTTTTTTGCTTTCACAGTGGCTCAAGCAACCCGAAGAACATCGCTTCAGGGTCTGACCGAGGCCATGAAGCCGCAGCTGGGCGCTGCCCTCGCCTCGTTGGCGCTCCTCGCCTCGTCGGTGTTGACCGGATGCAGTGACGACAAGTCTCAAAAAACAACTACGCCAAAGCCAGGAGAGTCCACCACCACAAGGAACCCAGATACTCCTGCAGGCCCCATTGACTGCCCAGCAGACCTCAATCGTGGCCACTGTACCAAGTGTTACTACTCTGGTGGTGCGGAAGGAGAGACTACTTGCCAAGAGTGTTCCTCTCCGTACAAGCTCTCCGATAAGACCAAATGCGTGGTGGCCTGTAGCGACATGCCCAAACCGGCAGATAAACCGGGCATGCCTGACACTGCGCAGTCGTACAACGGCATGACTTGGCCATCCACCTGCTTTGACGACGAGGAGATCCACTTCTTCACCGTGGGAGACTGGGGAGGAGTCTGCTCCTGGACAGATGGAAAGTGCAGTGATGCCAGCAATCCCTATGCTGGTCAATTCCCGGAACTCAAGGGCAAGCCCTTCCCCATGCCAAATCGAAAGGGTGCACCCCTACAGGAGCCTGTAGACTGGATGGCACAGAACTTGGTGGCGACTCGCATGAAAGAGAAGGTCGAGGAGCTGAAAAAGAATGGCCAAGCTCCGAAGTTCGTGCTGAATGTCGGGGACAACTTTTACCCTGGCGGTGTGGATGCGCATTGTGACAATGGCTCACCACATGATGCGGTCTTCACCCAATCTCAGTTCGCACAAGTCTTTGAGAAGATGTATCCTGTGGACGATGTTGGCGACATCGAGTGGTGGAGTGTCTTGGGTAATCATGATTATGGTGGTGTTTGCTACATCAAGGGTTGGGACCAGCAGATCTTCTACACTTGGAAGCCTGACGGTCGGTGGGTGATGCCTGCCCAGTACTGGCGTCGGAGTGTGCAGTTCAAGACCTTTGATGTAGACTTCTTTTTTTTGGACACCAACATTCTGGACAGCTTCAGCCCAGACGTGGACCCTGGCCACAACCTTTGCTCATCTGTCAGCAATCCTGGAGAACACTGTGAGCTGGAGAGGTTCCCAGTGAAGAATGGCACGGATGGTGCAAGTTGTGCTGCCACAGGACCAGTCAACCCGCAGGACTGTGTGAAGTGGTTCGAGAAGTTGTGGGCCGATCAAAAGAAGTGGTTTGTGGATGCAGTGCAAAAATCCACTGCCGATTGGCAGATTGTCGTGATGCATCACCCCCCAAGCTACACCCCTGGAAGAGCAGACAGCGTTCTCCATTGGACAGACATTGCCAGGGAGGCTGGAATTGACTTGATTGTTGCTGGCCATAAGCACGAGCAGAAGGTCTACTACAAGAGATCCTTCGCTGGAACTGACATGGAAGACACTGCCTGGGTCATCACTGGTGGTGGTGGGGGTGTCACCTCAGATATTTTGCCCACCAGCAGCGGTCAAGATGATGCTTATGGCTTCATGGACATGAGCATCTCCTTGGACCAGATTGAGATCACAGCAATCTCACATGGAGGCACTCGCGGACAGTACATCGAGCGTAGCAAGACGACGGTTGCCCCCCGTTTGAAGAGTGAGGCTGTGTCCTCGCTGGAGATCACCGTATGAGTCGGACGGGTCGCCATGGTCTTCGAAAGGAGATTCATCGATGGCCTTTTTGCCTAGCTTGGGCCCAAGTGAAGTTTCAGATGAAAGTCCAAGACTTTCAAGCCACAGCCGAGGGGGCTGTGATGTTAAGAACCTCAAGTCAGTTGGGCTTCGAGCATTACTTTGTGTCAAAAGACGTGCTTTCACAGCAATTCGTTCGCTTTACCTCTCGGGAATTGAAGACTGTTGGATTCTTGAATTCTGGATTCGAGTTTGTTTAAGCTTCCATTTGCAGGCAGAAGCAGAAGCCGCAAGCATTCAGGCTGCGAATAGAGCATATTGCCAGCAGTACCAGGTGGGGAAGCCTGAAATCCTATATATCCAGCACAAGATGCAGCCCAAATACACGTAATGACCGGAGAATAGCTAGTAAAGCAGCATGACATGTGTGATGCTCCAAGAAAGTGCCAAGAAGCTGAAGCAGCATCCTTGACCGCAGGTGACGCAAGATTTGCAGACCAGTGGCTGGACATTGAATTTAGCTATTGAGAGGCTCATGATGTAGGGAAGGAGGAGGCAAGAAGTAGTATTGCACCGTACTACACGTGGCATCTCTTGCGAAGTGATCTCACACCCTGAGATTTTGGCTTCAAACAAAAACAGCGATTGTTACTTTAAGAAGCTGGAAGTCTCTGGAGCTACGGGACCAGGTAGTATATAACCGCAGTCTACTCTTGGCCCAGGCGCCTTGTCACGCTTGGCAAAATCATCTGGCTGGAATCCAGAAGAGCTACTGCATTACATGAGATTCCTAGCAGCAAGACCTTGCATTTTTTGCTACATGCCTGGTGCCGTTGTTTGATGCTGTCGAGCGAAATGCACACCATTCTCTTAACTAGCTCGCGGTGAAGATTCAGCAAGGAAAGGAGAGTGTTCCGATTTCATTTGAGGAATTCGCGCATTGCGAAGTCACCCAGCAAATAGGAGCACTTTGGCAGACTTGTAAAGTGGCAGCCTTTTATTTTTTCCGAAACCACCGACTGGTACTGTTTGGTTTCCTTTTTGACTGGTTGCGAGCTCTGGACGTGGATATGGACCGCATCGCTTGCAACCAGACGCAACCGGAACTCCTGTGAACTGAGGTATGATCCGATTTTAGCAATCCAAAACTGAAAGGACTCGATGACAATGGAAGAAATGACTAGAAATGTCAAAAAGCCGTCCAAAAGGGCTGCGCCATGTAGATGTATTTAGTATAGTGACTTTCCCGCACTAAAGACCGCTCCATGAGATTGCCATTTCAACAGAAGTTGACAAAGTGGGCACTCGTGGAACAAAGTGGACACTCAAAAGAGAAATTCATGCACATGCTAGCTTTCAAACAAGGCTTACAAGCAAACTTATAGCCGTTATAGCCTCCATCAAAGTATGGCCTGTACACACGAAAAGGCTGCCTTGCGCCGATGGGGGGAGGTCATAGCGTGAAAAAACATCCGCGGGTCCATGTGCCCCGTCCAGGCGATGTGGGTTGTTCGCAAGAATAGACAGCCTTTACTGTAAATGCCTTTAATCATACATCAGACGTCTTTCAGGTCTCTTCAGGAACGCTTCTGAGCCACGACTCTCCCCAGCTCGTGCCAAGGCCGGAGAAACGGTAGGAGTGTTAAGTCGTAGTATGTTACCAATAGAGCAAAGATTGGTGCCACTTAACAGAGTCGTGAGTCATTGTAGTTTAAAGGAGTGAATGAGAGCCTTCTTGCTCCTAGTCAGAGGTGTATGATGTCCAAACCAGACATATGTCCAAATCAGACGTCGATGTACTCAAAAAACACATCATTCTATATAAAGGTCTTGCTGAGCCAACATGTCTTTGCAAAGGAGCTCCTGAATCGGCTCACACGGCCTGCAACCTCTCGGGAGGTGAAGGCCATATTCTCAGCGCGACGTCCTTGCGTTCGTCAGTGATGTCATTTTTGGCATTTGGGGATTCCGATGTTGGCCCATTCATTCCCAGGAGATTCCAATCAAGCGGCCTGCCTCTGCGCCCATGAGTGTGGAGGACAGGGCACTAAACGACCCAACTGTCTTATCGTTTTTCTACTTTCCAACTGAATTTTGCAACGCATTCCGAACCTGTGTGTACTTGAGCAACATAAGGAGTTGAATGCGAAGGTGAACGACATTTCCAAAGCCAACACAGGGTAGTCATGGGTTCGCTGTGCAGTGGCGCGCGTCTGCCTGTTTAAAGCACCATTTTATTTGTTTATACAGTATAATATGTCTATTCTCAGACTCCTATGTGATCCCCCTTCACATTCTGTGGTGTTGCAATGCACTATCAGACGGCAAGGAGTGTGTGAGGTTGACAACAAGTTGGCATACACGTTCAATAGCCGACACCAACAGTCTATCATTTGCTAATGGTCTTGTACTAATGGCCATTCTCGCACTCCGATCTGGTTCCCTTGAAGGTGCTTGTTTCCTTCCGGAGGAACAGCGGCGGCGCTGTGAGAATTTGGCACAGCCCAAGGCCCAACCAAAGCGGTGGGGATTCCAACTCAACCAGTGCTTCGAACAGCAGAATGCTGCTATTTTAATTCTAATTTGTTACTACTAGTAAGGCACTCGTTCCTAGTAGCGATGCACTTGTCACATGGCATGTTTTTCTCCTTGTCTTCGAGTCATTGCACATGACAAAGCTTATGGGCCACACTCGCTTTGTCATTGGCACGCTGGAAAATGCTGACCACTTGGAGAAGACTTGGCACTCGGCAGCTCAGGTATCGTCAGCGGTCCTGACCTCGGTCAGGTATCGTCAGGTGTGTCAGCATGTGCCGATGGCTCCAATAGTGAACACCAGTTGCTCAGACCGTGATGAACTCGATTTGCAGCTCCGAAATCGCATACACTACGGGACGGTACGCAGTTGATTGAATTCCACAACGAACAAGGCATCGAATCACGCATCGAAGGTGCCGTTTTGCCCAGGTGCAGATTTCGGCGACGATGTTCTGCAACAGTCGCCAAAGCCCCAAGCAAAAGGTTAGTCTAACGTTTGTTAACTGTTCATAGTTTTGCCGTCACATTGACGAACTGTGAATTCTTGCGAAACAGGCACCCAAGACAGCTCCTAAACCTTGACCATTCCTCTGTGGAATCGTTCTGCTGGGGAGCTGTTGTGGTCCTCAGGTCGCCGCACAGAGGGCCAGTATGGAGCGCCTTGCACGGCCCAAGTCCGCCAAAGCGCCTCGGTGTCGAGCGAAGAGACAAACGAACGCATGCTGGAAGCCACGCACAAATAAGCAAGATTATATACAACATATTTGCGTATTATATGTAGATAACAATTATATAGGTGAATAACTTAATACATTATTCAGTAAGTATATAGAACACATATATATATATATGCATAATACATAGTAGTCCGCAAATAGGTAGACGCGATTGTCAATGATGCTCAATACCTGCTTGAAGGGGATTCACTATGTCTATGTTGGGACTATACCTACAACACGTGGTCACTAGCTTTAACAGCCCAGACCAGCGATGTAACAAACCATTGAATGGAGATCACGATCATGGGTGCAGGATAGCTCATCTCCAGCCTGCAGTGTTTTGTGATGTAAGTCGCCACGGGACCATACCATGCATGGCCTAGATTGAGGTGGATGCGGAAGACTGGGAGGCAGATGATTTGCGCTTCGTTTCGTATATCTTCGTTTGATGTTGCTCGTCCCGAGTGACGACAGTGGCGCAGTGGACAGCAGCTTGCCAAAGTTACCATCCCTTGAGGCCTTCCATTGAAAGTTAAGTACAAGACTACAAGACAGATTATCCTTACGCCTTACACTGTCCAAACAAAGAGTGGCGTTGTGCACAGGGCGGGCTCGGTTGAAAGTACGCCGACCGAATCATTTTATGTACAATCTGAGCGTTTGAGAACTATTTCGGAAGAACTCCTTATCGTGGAATACAGTTCGTAGACTTCCACTGACTTCCACTCATATTGGCTCTGATTGGTGCCCAGACCATATTGTGTGCAGTTTGGTGTCCAAGTGTACTGTCATCCTGTGCAACTACCTTTGCACGTTGGTTTGTCCCTGCGGTGACTTCCCTCATGTGTTGAAAGTTCAAGCCATGTCCTGAGCCTGTGGCCGCTGTGGCCTTACTCCACAGGAATTGTTCAGCCTTCTTGAGAACTTGGTTACATTTATTTGGAGCATCGTTTCCTTACGCACGATTGCCCACGTCACGTCGCACGGAGCAAACATGCAATCCAACGTGGGTTTGGTCGGCGATACAGGGATTCAAGTGCGTTCTTGATTCTCATCTGAGCATTGATAGGAGCCAGATCAAGAAGACTGGCCATCTCAGATTCAGAGGCATTCTCAGCATTTGCCATGAAACTGCTGTGCGTGTACCTGATAGAACTTCTGAGGAAGATTGAATGGAGTACTGTATTTAGTTCGGTGTCACATGTTTTCAAGATGCCAGGCCAGAAACACGTGCATCTGCAGCCCTGGCATGTTTCCAAACTACTGTCGACAGAAGACATTCCTGCACTGCTTTCGTGAGGATGACCTCAAACCCTCGCGCCCTCTTTTTAACATTGTTCCGTCCAGCATCAAAACCTGCAAAGGTCCCATTGATGCAACTCTTGCGTCACCTGCTTGCATGACAACAACATTGAATAGGGGTGCAGCAACTTGCACTGATGAGTTATGTGTCAAAACGTTGCAGGATTTCTTCGGTTCGTTCGTCCTAAGAGCAAGCATTTTGACACGCCTCCGTAGTTATATAGTACTTCGATCTCTTTGTCATGACCTGCCAGGGGTGCTTCTCAGGCAAGGGTCTTTGATTATTTGAACTTTTCTTATTGGAGAAGGCTTAGAGTAATCGATACTGGACACGGCTAGAGTTCTGATATGGATTGCGGAGAAGTGACAGCAGCAACTAGGCCTTCTTGCCATCTGCAACTAGGCGTGCCAGAGTCCAGACCCGGAGCCTGGATGCTTCAGGCTTTCGGACCTTTCGGATGTTCCGGCTTTGCACCGGGCTTCGCAGAGACCACGTGAGCTTCGCAGTCCCTAGTGACAACGCATGGTTTCTAGTGACAACGCTTAGCCTGCCGAAGGTGATGAAGCAGAATGCTGCTCAGCGGCGGGGTGATCAGGCGAGGACTGAGGGGACTTGGCCCGCTTGATTCTTCTGCTAGGTAATTGAAACACATGAGGATACTGTAGGTCTGGTCATTTTGATGCTATCGAGGCTTTTGACGTGTTGCATGAAAGTGTTTCACCCAGCAGTTTCAGCATCTCGCCAGCGCAGGAAACAGCTCGATATGTGAGATAGCAAAGAACACCGAACTGCCATCACAAGCTGCCACCAAAATATGTTTGACACTAAATTAACGTTTCACCTTGATACTCTTGTCAGTATCCAAAGTGCTGAGAGTCGGCAAGCCTGGAATCTTGGGCTTGCGTTTTATTGTGGCTTGCGTTTTTGGAGTGGCGTAGAATTGGCAGAAAAGGTGCTTCTTCTCCGCGAGAGGAGTTCTGCCAGAAAGGCTGGATGCCACGGGAGGAATCTTGTCGCAGGTCATCCTGGACTTGGCCAGGAAGTTGAGGAAGGACTTCTGGGCATTGACTGAATATGGAAGGAGTATGGGCCTAGCCGGCTGAGTTTGGCATGGTCAATTCACAAGCTGTGCTGTCACCTTTCGGAATGTGTTACCGCAGATTTTGCACATTTGGCTGCTTTGGCTCAAGCCATGGATCACCACAGGACCTTTCTATGCTTGGAGACTCAGACCAAAGTGAGACTCGACTCTTTAGATGTCTTCAAGTACTTAAACAATCTTAAACATACTTAAACTTAAACCTTGCCTCGCTCTGCTGCCATTCTCAATTGCAGGTTTCTAGTTTTGTTTTTATGTGTTCAAGCTAGTTTGAGTGCGATGTTGGGGGGATCGCTGGAATATGGCCCTTCCTATCCTTTCGCAATTGAGGTCCATAATCCATGGCTACCTCCCGACAGGACCGGGTCCGAAGCTGGCGCTGTAAGAGGGATGCCAATGAATGGGCACTGCCCAACTCTTGCAATTCAACATATTTCAATCGGCTAGAGCACGACCCGCACACTGCACAGATCACTTTTGGAATCACGTCAGCAACAGATTTCCTTGCTGCTCTTGCAAAGGCATGCACAAATCAACAATGTCACGGTGGCCGTTTGGGTTCATAGCATCCGACCGGTTTGCGAAGTACTTGATTTATCATGTCGTGACCTCACTTTTGTAGAGTAGTAGAGTTTTTTTACTTTATTTTCTTGGCAACTGTCAATCTTGTCCAGTTGCTCCAGTTTGCCCAGGCTTGTCATTCTCCTGGTCCTTTGGTTTCAGGCTTGAATCTTCCAACCATTCCCAACTTCATTTCGATGACACATTTGGTGTCGCAGGTCGTGCAGTCGGTGGAAGTGACTGTCCAGTTCGGTGGTTCGTGCCTGAGCATAGGGAGAGAGAGAGAGAGAGACTCCGAACTCCTGATCATGGAAGTATTTTCAAGGATGAACACCGCTGCGAGAACTGCAGGGCTTGTGCACCTATACAACTGCATTAATAGAAGTACCCCGTGCTTGGTGCTCATGTCATGAAACCCACCGTTTCTACCAGGTGTGACTTTTGTTTTTTTTTTGACTCCTTCAGTAAGGTGGACTCAGCAAATGTTGGCAGCTTCCCCTGAAATGCCGACCGAGGAAACTTCGTAAGAAGAGAAGCAAGGCGTGCTCAGATGGGTTTGGTTTTCTCATGGTTTGGTTTGGCAACTCTTGGAGCAAAGCACAATTGTTGTTTGCATCCTATGGCCTTCAACTTTTCGCCAGGAGATTCGACTGCTCGTCAAGGAAGGCAGTCATTGAATGTCCGCCCTCTTCTGCAGGCTCACTTGAGCAATTTCGATATTGAACCCCCTGAGTGCTTGGGGTTTATGAGATGTCTTTGGTGAGTCAGCAACATTGAGCACATTCCTGAGAAACGAACTCAAGAAAATTAGGCCAGTTTCCTCCTGTGCTAGTGCAGCTTGATTTGTTCACTTTGCCACTGCTAGCTGAAACGCTCATCCAAACACAATGAGTTGAAGGTAAAGCGGTCTGCGATGAGGCCAAAGTCTCACGAGGCAGGTAGGTGGTCTCCTGGTGGCGTCTGTGCAAGTTTGTTTGCATCTCACTCTTTTTCATAGCTGCAACCTTGGGCTCTCTCAGGCTCTACGAAGCATAGTCCATGTGTGTGGACGGCAGCAGATGCAGGGAAGTTTGCATCTCAGTCCAGACTTGTCTTAGCATCTGTTTTTCAGCCTGTCAACGAGTTCTGTGGTTTCGCAACATGCAACAACTTGCACAGAGTCTTGGCAGGTTTGATTTGTATTTGGGAGCTGAGGAACACGCCTGATCTTTGCATGGTGGATACCTATGACCCATGCTATGATGAAGTTCCTGTCCCTACTAAAGGCAGCTTTAACTTGCAGAGCAGAGAGGGAATGAGAAGAAACTCGAGAACGCCAAAGAGAAGCAACCACTGCAGGTGGTGGGTAGCACCTGGTCGTTGAAAGCTGATGGCGCGGCCGTCATGAAAACTGCCCGTTGGCACGATCGTTGAAGGTTTTGATAGTTTGACGTGTGATGAATGCTTTCCTTGAGGGGATTCGAAAGACATTCATCGAGCCTCAGCAGCTTAGGTTGGGTTCCTTGAAGATGTGTTTTGTCGCAATGTTCCCATACTCAAAGGCTCAAGTCCGCCAGCAATCTCAGCGCTTGTTTGTTTGAAGTGTTGCGGGCTCAACCAGCACCCAAAGCAATATCAAGTCACGCTGGACGCAGAGAACCCTGAGGGTTCAGAGAATCAAGGGCTCTTTGTTGGTGGTGGATTCCTGTAGTCATGTCCGTAGCCTTGAGCGATGCTTGGACTTTAAGGCCTTGAATCGTAGGTTGTGGCTCCGCCAAGGAACTTCTAGGCAGCATGTTTCAGAGCGTTGATGCAGGCAGCTTGCCACCTTGGCAGGGTTAAGTGGTGCCGGCGCTGCCGCACTTTTTCTGTGTGAAGCTCAACTGAAATGGAAGGGTTCGTGTATAAGTGCTCGAGAGGTCTAAAGGCAAGTTTTGAGCCGTGCTGCAAGAATGCACCCGATCGGAAAGTGTACAAAACATATCAAAAAAAGTGTGTCAACCATCCATTCAGGTTGGTTCAGCCCAGCCTCATCACTTGCTCTATTGGTAACGGAACATATCACCTGCACAGGATCATTCAAGCATAAAGCCTATACCCCCAGTAGTCTTGCTTGCATGTCAATAAATCCTGATGTACGGTGGTTGTCCGACTCAAACCAATACTTGCTGATTTGTTGTAGCCCAGCTGAACTTCTAGCTTTCGCCTTGAGGCTGGGTCGATGGTCTGCGCAACTCGATGCTAAACTAGCAGCTCCGAGTGTAGAGGTGCAACTCTGGTCCATTGAAAAGCACTCAGCGGGGAGACAGTACGACCAGGTGTCTGCAAACAAAGGTGCCAAAAAAGCGGCAAAGGCGAGAGCGAGAGAAAGGGTAAAAGGGCTGAAGCCTCCTTTGTGAACATGCCACTGATATTTATGTTGTGTTCTCCCAAGAACAGTGCGCATATGAACCGGACAAAGTTCGGAGACACTCTGCAGGGCTACTAGTAGCGTTCTTGCTCCTAGCAGCGGCAGCGATACCCTTGCTCCTAGTCGCGATGCCAGGAGCTACTAGTAGCGTTCTTATGTTCATCGGGGAAAGGCACAGAACATCACCAACGGACTCCATGGCCAGGCAGCTGACTCCGTGGGAACGCCGCCCTTCATGCGACCACCTGCACAGGTCGCAGACGTTGGGGAGATACATGATTGAGGTCTAGTGTCTTAACCCAGGGCCTTTTTGTCTAAGACTTCACAAAGAAACAGGCCACCTTATGAGCAACTACCAACACCAAGCATGACAGGTTCTTTCGTAGAGAGAGGAGATGGGGTTAGTAGACTTTTGCTGAAACCTGAAGTTCCATTCTGCTGCAGCCAAATTCTCTCATTGTGCTTAAAAGATGTTTGTCGCGTTCTTCAAAGTGATTCTGCCACCTGTGGCCACAAAATTGGCTTGAAGATTTTCCGTCCAGGTCCAGTGCAACATTGAGGAGAGAAATTTGGTGACCTTTGTAAGGCAACTGCCCAGCAAACCTTTAGTGCCAGGCACTCAAAGCTTTCTCAAGCTTCACCAGAATCAGTTGGATGCCATTGCCTTGAAGCATTTCTTCTACGTGCAGTTCCTGCAATTCTCAAGGCAAAGAGGGGGTGGCGAGGTGCACAGTACTGCGAAGCTGGTTTTACTGTGTGCCAGCGGAAAAGGAGGAGCAGCTGAACCGCAAACATGTGGAGAATGGACGGGGTTAATGAGAGGCTGGGAGCCTTGCTCACTACCCGGCACTACCCTTAAGGTGGGAAAATCTACGGTATCTGTAAACCTGGCTTATATGCTGGAAGCTGAGAACAATAGCGGTAGTGTTCTTTGGCATCGCGGTAGCTTGTGCGATGTTAGATGTTCCGAGGATGAAGCAGATGGGGTTCGAGGTGAGAAGCTCTGGCGACATGAGCTAAAATCGTGTGAGATGAGATTGTCAGAGGTTTTGTCACCGCAATGAGGCTCAACAAGGATGATATGACATAAGATGTTTGGCGACATGTGCTGAAGCAGTGAACATCATTGAACCATATTGAACCGTATTGAACCGTATTCAAGCCTTCAGGTTGCTCTGCTGGATTTAGACATTTATGGACCATCGCTCCCGGAGCTTGTTCGGTCCGTGGCTCAATGACGTATCGGCTATCGGGATGAAGTCAATGGTCCTGCCTTGGTGACGTAAGGCTTCCGCCAAACTGCGTGACACAGAACGAGGTACTTACTGATGGACCGTTTTCTCTTGTTTCTGTCTCCGTGTCTTGTGCCTCTGGGTGATTTGTGTGTTTACATAGGCTGGCCGGATCATCCCGATTGACTACGGCTTCTTGGCATCCTCTTTTGCCGTCTTTCTCCGTCCCCTTCGGTCCTTTGCACGCCTATGATCTGAGGTGGTGTTGCCTTGATGTCCTGGGGCTACATCAATCCAGGTGAAGCCAGTACGCTTGGCACCCCAGTGTGCTGTGCACCTCCGGAGCGCTTGGGCTGGCGTTTGATGCAAGGATCCGGGCACCTATAGCGAACCAGATTGTGGGGCAGCTGCTCACAGGGGTGCTCCAGAGTTGAAAGAGAAGCTTCCTTTCGAATGCAAGGAGTACTGTATATATACATACATATATATATTATATTATATTATATTATATTATATTATATTATATATAGTGATTGTTCTTGCTACAAGCAGAAGGGGGTAGTTGAGTCTGAAAGCTGTGGCCTTCGATCAAGACACTCTTAGTTGTCCATACCCAGGCTCCTGCTGCTCTTCTTGCAATGACCGGGACTTTCACTTTGTTTGTGACCTTTCGCATCGCCAGGTGGAATGGGGTCCACTCGACATCCTCATCATTGACAGTCCACCAGGAGGGGAACAGCAACACCAAGCCATTATGAGTTGCCATACTGTACCAACCAGTAGCGACGCCATGGACAACATGCATGTATTTAAGTGATGCAAGGAAACACTATAGAGATGCAACAGGAGCAAACATTTGCAGATTTTGTTTGTGGCCACTGGTCGAAGTAATTGATGCATTGACCGAACAGAGTTTTCACTAGTAAAAAGGTTTGCCCCTTGAAATCGGTTGGAGGGTTTTTCAGGACCATGTTTTCTGATTTACTTATCAATCCAACCCTTCCAATCGATGTTTTTCGAGTCTCCAGTACTGCACAGGGACTGGTGATGTACTGTTGTCCATCGCGCAGACGCTATCTGTTGACGGCTCCGTTCTGGCTGAGTGCTCAGGGCAGTGCCCAGCAGGTGAGATTGAGCTTTATGTTTTCCTATGTGTTCCTTGATATTTCTTCTGGGGGGAAAGTAGCTGTTAGTAAGGAGGCTTACTAAGTAAGCCAACCAGAAGGAGTAGCTTCTTAGTCTCCCGGACGCAGGCCCAGGACGCACACTAGGGCTCAGGCTTCTTCAAGAAAGCTCCCCCGCCTGAGGGCGAGGGAAGCTTCCTTGAAAAAGCCTGAGCCTTACTGAATTGGTTCCTAGATTATGGCGGACACTTAACAGTCACGAGTGTCGAATGATTCTCTTCACTTTCGTCTGAATGACGTCAGGTCACAACTTCGAACTCCATTAGCTTGGCTGATGTCGACAAGGGCTTGCAATTGTTTACCAAGGCACGGAAATCACACAGATGAACCAAATCATGCCAATCAATCAGGACCGTCCACGATCCACTTGGAGCCAGGTTGAAATCGAGCCACTCTTGGTGGTCCGAAACATGGCATCAGTCTGCTGTGAGGCTGGTTGTTGGAAGCAAGCGGGCTGAAGGTGTTTGACGACTGGCTCTCCACAGAACCAGACCTTCGATCCAGTTTGACCTTGAAGCTTGATAAGAAATTCTGACATACGCAGGAATGCCAGCATGAGCAGCCCCTTTTCATGGACTCTGCGTTGCCCGGCTGCAGCTCAACCAATAACGCTGGCCAGACTGTCCCGTGTGTGCTTGGTGCGCGTTGGAAGGATGGAGGGCTTGTCGGACCTACTCTCAGCAAGGCCCTGTGTTTGATTGAATCATGCCACATGCATAAACTTCGCATGAACTCGCAAGCGGAGGTCTTTTCAGGTCTTTCCTAAGGGAAGAGCCGTCAGCCTCACTGACAATCCTCTAGAAAGGTGTCCTAAGCAGACCATCAAGACCTAAAATACCCCTGAAGTGATGTTGGCTCCAAAGAGTGTTGAAGCCAGGTCAGTGGGCTTGGTTGATTTGCCGCTGGATGGGAAGTTGTCGCAGGCTCGACTTGACGGCAGGTGAAACACTACTCTCTATTCGCAGCACCACTAACTCACTGACTCTCATGATGAATCAAACACATAGCTTCGAACACAAGAAGTACACCTTCATCGTTCACCCAGCCTTTGGCATTTGACCCTTCGGTTTGCTTGTTGCTTTGGCTGTCACTTCGTCAGGCGCCATTGTCCTTCCAACCTGCAAACTCGCTGCTATATCCCTTCGTGCGGAATCCACACCATGAGGCACGCGGTGTTTTTCTATTTCTTTTTCTGCATGTTTTTTGCCTTGCCCTAAGGCAAGACAAACAGCTTTCAGGGTTAAACAGTTAAACATGTTAAAGATATCACTTGCATCCTCATCAACCTGACTGTAGTTAGCCCGTATTGCAACCTTGTACAGGCACGAGCAGCGTGGCGAGCCTTGCGAAAGGCCACCCGCTGCGTGCTCGAAGCAGCGCTGGGGCTGAAGGCAGCTTTGGCTCTCAAACGGTTGGCCCGGTAGGCTTGGTAGGCCTCGGTACGGTAGACATTCCAAGGTTTTGTGCTGAAACCGTACGCGTTCTTGGTGGAACCGTCATTTGTGATGAAATGCCTCGCTTCTTCTCAGGGCGGAACTACCTCGAGCATGACCAAGGGTCCACGACGAGAGGCACATGTATGACATCTTATGACTCATTACGGTCACTTTTCCGCAGTGTAGCAAACATGGGATCATTGTGTTGTTATCGGATGTTTTCGGGACGTGTTCAGCGTGTATTCTTTCAACACCACTAATTATTTCGTGCATGTTGAAAGACATTTCAAGGCGCCGGCCTCCCTCCGGGTCCGGCCTGGCGGCTTGCTGGAGGCCAAAAATGGACAGCGAGGGTAAGAACTGCTTCTTTTACCACTAGCTATTGATGCCACTGATTTTTGCATCACTTTACTCACTTTACCCTTCGTTCCTGGATGACTCGAGTGGATGAGGTGAGGCTTCGAGGTGGCGATTTACGGCCTTTGTCCTGTGGCGAGCTACGGGCAAACTGCCGCTGTGTGGGCTGCCAGACATGACCTTCATGGCCTTCTGTACTTGATGGAAATAATACATGCAAGTACTGTAGCACTGTTTTTTTGTGCAAACGCGATTGAGGGCTGATGTCTTTCGGACGCAACACTCATTGTATCAACAAATCGAGTTTTTGTAAGCAAAGGGTGCCACAGTTTTGTAGGCTTTGTGTGCTGGGAGCTGAGCTGGATGTGGCTTTCTGGCGTGACCTCACCATCCCAATTCCTCTATTGCCGGACTTCTGTGAAATGTCTAAGAAGGTTTGCGATTTCTTTGATTTCGTCTATGTTCATCTATTTTGTGTGATTTTCCGGATGTCCGGTGATGTCCGGCTTCACACTTTACCAAGGTGGACGAGATGACGGGAGAAGTGAAGATTGACCAGGCAACATGGAGCTTCTTTGGACTCTGCACACTTCTTCGTCCAGACCAACACATTCTGGACAAGAATTAAGCATGAAGAAATTAAGCAACGTAATTCTTAAACAGGCATGAAGAACAGGAATTATGTAAATTAAAGCAATTTAAGCAAAGGAATTAAGCATGAAGAAAGTGGGCAGACTATGTTTAAATGACCGAAACTTGTCCCTTGAGAATTGAGCGTGCCACTCCGCTGCCCACTCCTCAGCTCTGAGGCCCAAATCCGAGAGGACCTGACCCTGAAAGCTAAAACCGTCGAACAGGCAGGGGCAAAGTAAACAGTTCTTGCAATGAAATTTCTTTTCTGACCTTTTGCTGTTGGAAAGTCCAGGCAATCCTCCCAACATTTCCCAACTACGTATAAGTTTTCGCAGAGCTGCAAGCCATATTACTACAGTAATGAATCGGACATTCTTCAGCTGTTCGGCTCAAAGCCACGATGAAAAGGAACCACATGATGCCATGATCAACAACATGAGCTGAGCGACCAGTCAGAGCGACAAACGGAGTGGTCGAGTCTGGTAGAGTTGCAAGAGCCGCCAACCCGCCAACCGTGCCAAAACACATTCTTTAAAGCTTCTCTAGCAGCGAATGCCACATGGGGCGCTTGACGCTAGAAGACATCGACATTGTCGGATGGCAGGCGCACGTTGTTGAACGTGTAATCTTTATTTTTTTCCAGACTTTTACAAAAGGAAACATTTCCCGTTAGTTTTGGAAAGAACGGTTTGAAGAGCAGGCCTTGGCCTCTATTTATTTTGATGCTCGCTGCATGGTGCAGGCCTTTGTTGGATTTGAGGGCCTGGCCCACATGCGTTGCTCATCCCCCAGCTTCGCACTGGGCGGAGCCTATGAAGAGATGGTCTCGCGCTTTTGTGCTCTCAGTCGAAGCCCTTCAGCCCAGCTGAGGAAGGCCACAGTGTTGAAGTGAGGATGATATGAATAGCATTCAACACTCAACACTCTTCTTTTTGGTGTGAAACAGAAGAAGTGCACCACCATTCGGTAACCCTAGAAAGCAGGTCCAGTTTCACTAATGCATAGCAGGACTGAAACCCTCAGTTGCAGGGAAATCACCAAGAACCCAAAGGGTCTAGGTCACACAGACTTGCTTGCGACTATGATTTGGCTCAAGCGAAAAAGGCGCGTGTGGGCGCTGGGATTCGCGTTTTTGTGGTTATCAGCCGTAGGCTCCCCAGCCTACGGCTGTGCCCGCAGCCATTACCTCGTACGTCGATTCTGGGTCGAGCCGACAGAGTTAATCGGCGACACCCTTTGGCGTTGCGTGCCTGCTCCACGTGGCGGGAGGCGCGGGTACAGCCAAAAGCTGAGACATCTACAAGAGGGGATCGCGCAAGGGCTTTTATCGAACAAGTATCCTTTTGTTCTTCCTGGCGGGCACGAATACGCTGCGAGTTGGGGATTTACAATTGTTGAGTCTGTTCTTCAAGGTGGACGGGAGTGGGGAGAGACTGAGTCCGAAGGTGAGGAAGCAGGATCTTCGTCCGTTCTTGAACCGCCTGCCCAGAAGGCGAAGCCGGCGCCACGGATTGCTCCAGTGATTGCAACACAGGTCATTTCGGTGCCATCGAAGGCAACAGTTGAGACATCACAGATTGTTTCATTGCCGGTGCAAGCGAAGCCGAAGGTGAGACTTGCGACAACTTCAAAAGGAGTTCCGCAGAGCAGGGCTACAGATCTTGGAGACGAGCGTGAGGGTACAGAACTTCAGTCGGAAGCGGCGTTGTCAGAGAACTTGGAACCGGTCCGAGAGTCGATTCGTCCGTCTGCGGTGATCCGCCCATCGTCAACTCCGAAGAGTCTTGCAAAGGTTTTGCCAAAGCCGCCGCCGAAGGATCCGCCTTTCGTATCTCCAGCATCGACGACTACGTCGAAGTCGTTGCCGGTGAAGGCGGCGCCAGAGCAATTGTTGAGGCCGAATCCATTCTTGCTCCCGGACGGAGTTCTTGCCTACGAAAGGTCGGGCGATAGCTTCAAGGAGTTGAGATCGTATCGGAACTTCAACGGATTGTTGCCGGAAAGTGGTGTTGAGCGCAAGTTTATTCTTTTCCTCGATTACCATCAGGTGCTTGACAGGGGTGTTTCCGAGTCGGCATCGTGGTCGCACAAGATCCCAGGGGACAACGTGAGTTTCTTGAGACGTGCGAAAGAGTCAGCAGAGCGTGTTTGGGGAAACGGGGATTCATGGTTGATATTTGTATTGAGCCACATTGAGACATCTTCAAGGAATTTGGAGGGACTCTTGAGAGCTTGCAACGGTACAAAAGAGATCGTTGAAGAGAACCTGATCCAGGCATTGTTCGTGACTCGCGAGAGGGAAGGGGTGACAGGGAAGTTGGCGACAGCCAGAAAGATTTCCCGTGGCTTTTCGATTCCGATCTGTATTGTGGACGACAACGTCCGTGTGATCGCAGAGTTTGCAGGAGCCCAGGAACACATCAATCCGACGATTCATTGCGTGCATATCAAGCTGAGGAGGAAGCCATCGGCCGAACGAGCTGAGGTGGTTAGGCCCTTTTTGGCAGGCCGCAGTGAAGACTTGGAGAAGTTGTTCCGTCACTATAAACAATGATTCCAGCAGGAGAAATCGCGCCGGCGTCACAGGGTTTTGCCGTAGCAGCAGGTACCCCGATTGCAGACATTTCGTCCAGTACGGAACCCATGGAAGAAGACCAACCAAGGCCCAGTTTTGTTCAGGTGCAAAACCAAACTCTGAACCAGTTGAATGTCTCAGCGGACCCAACCATTGTTGCCGAGGCCCACCAAGAGATTGCCAGGGTTAGATCAGAAGCTCAAAGAGTAGCCATTCTTGCCGACAGTGCAGTCCGGGAGGCAAACCAAAGGGTTGCGATGGTCCAAGGGAATTTGCAGGCACAGCTGGCAGATGTTCAAAGAACAGCTCAAGAGAGGGTAGAGTTGGTAAGTCATCAAGCCAATGTTGCAGTAGGTCAAATCCAAAATGAAGCACTAGCTCAGGTCCAAATCGTCCAGTCCCAAATCCAGCAAATGGAAGAAGCTTTGAGGTTGGCTAGGCCTAGGCAAGAGAACCATCAAATGAAGGCTTTTGTTGAGCAAGCCAATAAGAAGCAGAGGGAGCATACTGAGATCGTAGAAAGTCCCCATAAGGAGCACCAATTGCAAACCGTTGCGCTGAGGTCTAGGATCAATCAGCTTGAGGACACAATCGCCCTGCAGTCTAGGACCAGTCAACAGGCGATGAACGCCAACCAATCACCAACCGGGTCAGAGTCCTTCCGTGGTTTACAGGTCCCACAGTCATTCGCTCCACTCAGTCAAGAGCTCAATGGCGCGGATTTTCGTGCAGTGTCCGCGATGCCTTCAGGAACTTCGAGTGCCAGTCACATGGGCTCCGAGATGCTTCAACGCACCGGAGCTCCTCAAGCAGGTCTGAAAGCTGTTCCAGAGGGTGATAAGCTAATGATGCTGTCAGGAGACGAGTTCGTCAAGGAACTTTTTGGGGAAAAGAGTCTTGATCCAAGTCCAGTAGGTAGAATGCATAGTCAGTCACCTCCTCCAATGACGTTGCATGCGCAGTCATCGCCAACGAGCGCATTAGAGACGCAAGTTGCGCTCATGTAATCTCAGTTGAATGTGTTGGCAAACGCAGTGCAAGGCATTGTGAAACATGCTTCATCAGGTAGGACAGACAAGCCTCGTAGCTCCGGAAAGCCGCCATCTTCTCCAGGTCCTTCGTCCTCATCATCGAGCAACTCGTCAGGGAAAAGCTCAAAGGACAAGAAGCCAGGAAAGGGTGGGTCGGACGGTGGGGGGTCTTCACCGGGTGGATCTCCTAGTGGTAGTGGGGCATCATCTCCATCACGTTCCCCGATTGCCAAAGAGGGAATCGATGCATATGCTTTGGAGAAGAAGCTCATGAGGGTTAAAACATATGAGTCCCGGAAACTACCAACTCTCCCAAAGAACGCGCCAGAAGCTAGGACATTCAAGAATGGCATGTTCAGTGTGATTTGCAAGTTAGCCAAAGCGGATGAAGCGCCGGCCTTCAAATGGATCAGCCGTTGTGCAAAGCCAGATGCAGATCTTTCCGATTCGTCGCCATATCCTGTTTTGGATCGTGTCTTGGGAAGCAAGCTTCTTGAAATGTCGAAGAACACGAGGTTTGCCATGCAGTTCCAAACCATGCAGGAAGAGGCACAGAAACACGGTCGTCAACCAAAGGGTCGCAAATTGCTTTGGGTTGTGTTTGAGAAGTTCAAAATGGAAAAGGACAAAGGGGTTTCTTTGACACAAAGTCATCTTCTAGGTTTGAAAGTGCAGGGTAACGACACCCAAGCTCTAGAGAACTTCAGGAACAGGTTTGACTATGTCTGGCAAGCCTTAGAGGTAGAAGAGAGACCTTCAAGTTCAGCAATCCGTAGTTTGCTTTTCGAACAGTTGAAGAACCATCCAAGCATGATGTTAACCATTGACAAGTTTAGGAATGCATCATCAGGTTCATCCAAAAGGACCTATCAATGGCTGTACGACAAGTTGATTGAGGCGATAGAGATCCACCAGTTGGAAGAGAACTCTTCAAACTTGGAGAAGTCTTTGTCGCAGTTCGCAAAGGTAGCAGCAAATCCATCGAAGCCAGAAAAGGCTGACAAACCGGACAAATCCAAAAAGGAGAAACCGGAAAAGCCAAACAAAGAGAAAAAGGCAGAATCGACTGTGAAGGACAAGAACAAAATCAAGCAAGACAAGCCCAACAAGGAAGATCCAGAAATCGATGCCTCCGCCGCTCCCGGAACCGCAAAAGGTAAAGGTAAGAGCTCGAAGGGGCAGGGATCGGGGTCTGCCAAGGGCACCAAGTCAGATGACAAGCCCGATCGTACAAAGAAGCCATGTATGTATTTTGCATACAACGCATGTTCGAAAGGAAGCAATTGTCCATATTTGCATGACTCCAAGAACTTGTGCCAAGGTCCAAAGCCGCAAGCTTTGAAGGACAAGCAGGCAAATGCAGGCGCCGCTCATGTCAATGCAGGTGCAGGTACCGAACACGATCTCCGGATCAAAAGCTTCCGAGGTGAGTTGCGATCATGCACCATCTCAAGGGGGCGATGCAGACAGTAGGATCCATAAAGCCAAGAAGCTTTGTAAGTCCGTGATCAAGTCAGGTTCGAAGTCATGTGTTCCAAGGGTTGGCATGTTCGAAAAGACGTTCAAGGTGTTTGCAGCCATGCTAGCGTTTACGAATCCGATCGAGCCGCGTTTCACT